GTCACACGCACACACACACACACACACCGGACTGGTCACTGCACTGTTGACATAAAGAGGTTGCCGTGGCGTCCCTCAACTTCCCAAAGTTCAATCTCAGGACAAGACGTCCCACAGAAAAAGCTTTTTTTTCCAATTAATGTAATTAATGTGAACCTTTTTGTTAAAAGCCGACTAAAAGCTGTGTGTGTGTGTGTGTGTGTGTGTGTGTGTGTGTGTGTGTGATGGAGGGACAAGAGTGAGTGTGTCCCAACAAGACACTGTGAGAACAAAAGTGTAAGAATGGAGCATGTGACTCATCCCGGTGTCTGCATGTGGAGGAGTGAAGCCATGTGTGGGCAGAGGAGCTCGTTGCCCAGCTGACTGAAGAGCGATCTCACTCTCCCAAGATCACACACACACACACACACACACACACACACACACTACCTGCATATACACACCTCCATACGGCCACAGAGATACTCGCAATAACCCTGCAGGATGTTTTAGATGCACCACCAAATGCTAAAGTTGCGTTGCAACATGAACTTTTTGAACGAGAATGAAAATAAAATATTCTTCCCTCCTATATGACCCAAAATGTTTCTATTATTGCAAGTGTTTCCATTTAATTGCGGTTTATTTTAAAAATGTTAATATATTAAATGTTCTACCTTCTTTTAAATATGATTTATGGAAATATTTGACTGCTCAAAAATGCTCCACTACGTCTCTCATTTGGTGCGGAGCATTTAGTGTACAGTTGGTTTTTCAGAGTTCATAAAAGGTGAAGTTTGGTTAAAACCAAAACAATGAGATGAAAAACACTAAAAGGCTGTCTAAAACTGAGATGAATTGTAGCACCAAGCGTCATGTGACTCATTGCTAAAATAACCTTGAGAATGTTGCATCGGCTCAGTATTGCAGAACGCGGCTGCATCGCAGGCACCTGGCTTGCCTACTTACTTTCACACATCTAATGACTCTAATTAAATATAATATCTATTCCTGGCAAAGGCAAAAAAAAAGGTTTTTGAGATTGAGGTTCACAGTCACACAGAGTTTTGTTTTTTACCATTGTGACTTGTCCAAAATAACCGTTGAACTCACCCAAACCCTCACAGACCACATACATTTCTTGCCATGGAATGAAAAGTACAAACCCAAGCCAGAAGTCCCTCACAGGACTTGCTCCCAGATCTCTTTTTGATGCAGTTTGACTATTTTAGGACGGCCTGGTCGCAGCGAAGTCCCTGCACCTACTCCCCTGTCACACAAAGCCTCTGCATGCAGATCAGTGAGTTCTCCCATTTGTCATGTACCTATTCAATTGGAATAAAGTCATCCCTGCATTGCCTGCCTGGGTGAATCACACAACAACAAAAAGAGTGCGCCCGTGGTTCTTTACATGATGACGAGCAAGTCACAGCTCACTAGAATAACACATTCACAGAGAACTAGGTCACAATTTCAAGGCAGGGCAAACAATTCACCCCCTCGATAAAAACGATCCCCAGACATTTAGGGTCTTCTGTAATTTACCGTATGCATGTGTGCCACAACTCTCTGCAACCCCCCCATCCAATGCCTCCCACTGCATGTTTGTATGCCGGAACAAAAGGCTGGACGCACGGTTAAGGCGACCTTTGTCCGTGACTGTGCAACCATGCAGAGATCCAATCAAGTTCCCCGTACCGAGCCGTCCCACACGGCATCGGACTCCAAGCAGCAAAACTTTCTCGTTGACTAAAGAAGAAGAGAAACGGGAAAAGTTTAACGGGAAAAGTTTAACGGCATCGTCAGCGCCGCTCAGAAAGCTCTCCACAGAATCCTTTCACGTGTCCCCGAGCATGCCAATGCAAACACGCCACAGGAGGGGAGGATGAGTAATGTTTACACAGCGCTGCGTGGCCTCCTCCTCCTCCTCCGCTGCGCCCTCCCCGACGACGTTCAACGAAGCCCTGCACCTGGGACCCGGCGACCGAAGGCCTCCGTCCTTCACGCTGCGCGCGGATGACTCGGGGGGAGCTGAGGAAGAGGGCCGGCAGTTTATTTCCCTGACTGAACATTCTTCGTGAGGAATGTTTGGAATTCTCCCTCAGAAAGCCGGTCGTCTCTCCGGATCGCTGAATACTAAATAACAAGATGTATCACATCTGATATCAATATTTATTAGATCAAAATTGTTCAAACACAAATATTTTTCTTGAGAGGTACATGAACATGTCTGATAAAATAGCACGTAAAACACAAGCGAAACAGAGACGTTTTTAATGTGTTTCTTAACGGCTGCTTTGCCCCCCCCCTACCCTAAATTCGTCCAGATTTGACCCTCGACCTCTTGCCTCAAGATATGAATGAAAATGGGATCTGTAAGTAGCCACGAGCACCAGCGCCGACGTCCTGCTCGGCCTAACGAATGCTGCTTATCTTTGACCGGTTCCAAGAAGCCTTTGCGATGTGACTTGTTGGACCACTGAGCACTATTTTACCTTAAAATGTCGGGATACAAAAAATGAGTCCGGACTCAGAGTTCACTGTGGTGGAAAACGAGCAAATACATACAAGTCTTATACTTCGTATTAGTTCCGTTAAAATGGTACTTTTGCATCAGGCAAACAAGAAAATATATAATAAAAGTGGGTTGACTAATGCATCATCACTGGTGCAAACTGCCATACTGTATTTCTTTAAGTGCTGCCCCCCCCCCGGGTTCCCAGCAGTGGGTCAGCAGGAGAAGACCCAGGGGCCAGCATCATTATAACATGTCTGTGGTAATTAGAAGGCTCACTCAACCGTCAGTTGAACTCAAGTAATGTGCTTTATCTGCGTTGGGGGGGAAAAAGCGCCTGGGATTCACTTTGGCTTCCCTGAGCTCTTCTCAAGAACACCAGACTCACGGTGACGGGTGGAGCTCTTTGCATAAAATAATAATAGTGACTTCAGTTACTCGTTAGAAGCTACAAGATGCTTCTGGGGAAAAGTTTTAGGGAGTTTGGTCAGCAGCAACTTTAGTAGGGGAAGCTTTGGGCTTCCAATGATAAATAACCTACGTTCATGAGGAATGTGGTACAAACGAGGCCATTTTGTCAAATTCAGGGGAAGAATTGTGGTCTCGCAGTGCGACGAGTGTGAGCTTATGACAACCCCCCTCTATAGATAGAGGTTGTTTTATTGGGGTTTGATTACAATGCGAGTACGTTACAGAGGAAACCTTTGTGAGGCGGACTGAAAGGCCTCTTTCATAAGACTTAATTGGGAAACATTTAGAGCCAGTCAGCTTCTCATAGAAATACAACCTGACCCCGTCTACATCCTGCGTCTGCCTGCTGCCAATCACATGACAACACAGCTCAAGAGTACTTAAACCACCCAAAATAACTTGACCATAGCGAGCCGAAAGAAAGAAAACAAGGCGATGACCATCCGTCCCGTTTCGAAAAGAGGAAGGTTATTTTTAACCGGAAGAGTTCATCATGAGAAAAACGGTGATGTAACTTAAGATACGTGCCAAGTTCTAGAAATACTCCCCACTGCAAAACGAGTGCTTTTCTTACCCAGAAGGGCGTGGAACAGCCGACTGCCCAGGATGGAGGAGACCTTGCCCACGCTGGTCTTCAGGGTCTGCTCCCCCGGGCTGGTCAGGTTGGCCTGGTAGCGCGTGAGCAGCCCCACTGCTCGCTCGGCGTCTGCCCCACAAAATGAACACACAACTCAGCACAACGGGACTGCACACGCCAGGCAGCAGTTGTTCATGTTATTCTCATCAACTTTTACGATGAATATGCTTTTTATTGCTCTTGAAAGTCATTTGATCCAACGGGAGAATTAAAAAATGTGATAGGATAACCCCCCCCTGGAATCATTACGTGTGTTATTCTTCTTACCAGCCACTATACAGATGCCTCAGTGGCTTATTTTAATAGTTGATAAAAAAAAGTGTATTTTCAATTATGGCAGGACTACATTTCTGCTAATCTACAAAATCTCTAATGATCCCTAAAAATCTACAAGCAATAACAGATTTAAAACAATCAGATAATGCAGAACTCCTCAAAATACCAAAAGTGTGACAGAAGATTAAATATCATTATACATGAGAATGATTCTACCAATGACAGACATGACGTCACGTTACGTGAACTGTTATATTATAATAATAATAGTAGACTAGATAATAGACTATAGAAAGTTTCTCTCGCGTCACGGCTGTGCAGACAGTGGTTGAACCTGGTGGGTGGAGATGAGATGATGCACATCCACAACTTCACAGCTCCATACCGGAGCCCCAACATGTTCATCGAAGAGTGAAAACATCTCAACGGTAACTTTCTCCCCGGAAGTCGCTAAATTATTCAGATACCTTTTACTTAAAAAAAATTAAAAAAATCTTGAGTCATTTAAAAAGTCGTGGAATGAAGAAAAAAAAAAAGAAACGTCAACGACTGTGTGACGTTCATCTAAACCCTTCCACGAGGAGGACACGGTAACGGTACTCACCGTATTTATGGACCATTGTGGGGAACAACTCCGGGAAAAAGGGCACGTGACCAGGAGTTTGGAGGGTTGTTAATTGTTTTTTCTTGAAATTTATAATAACAGCCCGGAGTAAAACGCACAAACCGCAAGTGTCGCCTCGTCCTTCACAAACGAGACAGAAGTCGAGTTTTAAAACCCGTCCACGTTTCCCCAGAAGGTCCCACGCCCACAAGCCCGAGATGCGTCCACCGGAGACCACTCGCTCCACGTCAACTTTCCACAAGTTTTTCCTCCGCTGGGCGAACGAACGGCCTCGGAGCGAGACACGTTCCCCCGCCCCTCGCGCGCGCACGCGCATGCGCGCATGCGTGAACCGGGCTCCTCCACGAGCAGCTTCTCCTCCAAGTGTTTGCGCAGTGCGCCACCTGGCGGTGCTGCAGGACACCGCAGCCCAATGACAGCGCAACAGTGGTGAGTCAGAGGATTGTGAAGTGAGGAGTGAAGGCATCTTCTTGTGGAGGAAACACAGGAGACTTAAATATGTATCATCTCAGTGATGGAGTTCTTTATTTACATGCAGTAAAAAATGCAAAAAAAGTATTACAAGTTATAGTCTATTTCATACCGAGTGAAACACGAGTGTAAACATTTGTTACATGAAGAAACAAGAATGTTTATAATGACAGTGTAGAAAATAGTCATTTGGCTCAGGTTTACAATATGCACACATCTTTCCTGCAATGATAATCTCAGACGTGGATTTATATCAGATTACTGCGGCTGAAGTCCGGCAAACTACCCGGATAAGAAAGGGGACATTTCCCTCTCCTTCCAGGCTGAAGTATTTCTTTGCACCTCTGCCCCTGTGTAGAGTCACAAGAAAGTTATAAAAACAAATAAATCAATGCATTTTTAATTACTATAGATTTGTTTTTGGTTGATTAATAGTTTTCTAATAATTTCTAGATTTATTTTTAGGCACAACGTTTGGGTAACCAGGTTGTAGAATAATGTGTACCTTATATATCTGAATGATGACATAATATTCCTAATCCTTTATACCATTTCAATTGGTTTCTCACAAAACCGTGTCAATAAAGACTTGTTTGCAGTTTTAAATCGTTTGTAGACTAAGATTTTTTTTACAACCTGGCAATCCAACATAAAATGTTGATAAATTTATCCTCAATAAATACTGTTTACTGAAGCTAAATTAGTTAAGTTGATTGAGCAATAGATCCACAATTTTTAAATACATTTATAGATTGGATCAATAAAAGAGTTGGTTAATAGGTCAGTCAATCAAGAGAAAATAATAATCAATTAATCACTTAAGTCATTTTTAAAGCAAAAAGGCAAATTTGTTTTGTTTCTTTAATTATTAATTGAATAATCGATTAATGACAACATAAACCTCATGTTGAAACCGTACCTTTTCTTTTACAGAGACAATGGGTTTTCCTGTCAGAAACAGTGAGGCGGATGAGTCAGTCTTTTCACTCCAACATATTTATACAACAACAACAACAACAACAACAGGCGCTAAAGTGTGAGCCGCTTACCGCTGGAAGAGGAAGAATCCGGTCATCACCAGGACGGACACAACGTCCACTGTGATCCATATCGCCTGGTAAGTGAGCGGCGCCTGGAACACACACAAACACGTGGCTCTTGAACGCCACTGAAACAACCGGAAAGGGAACCAACGGCGCGTGGGCGTGTGCGGCGCTCACCATTACCCAGTCGGGCCGCTTCACGTCCTTCAGCAGGTGGCAGGAGTTGGTGGTAACGGAACTGGCCCCCGCACACCACATCAGAGAGAACAGCCAACGCTCATTGACCACCCACAGGTTCACCGTGACCCCGCTGCCGCGAAGCCCCCTGTCGGGTGAAAACACGCGGCTGAAAGAAGGTGGCAGCGGGGTGAACGAAGAGGGCGAGGATGTGAATGAGGGCCGTGGTGTTGTGACCAAAAAGGTGTACGGTTACATCGGCCCTTATGTAAAAAAACGGTGATTCCTTTTTATGTAGTTTCACTTTCTCAAAAGAAGTTGCTCCGCGGCATTCACATTTTTTTTTTCATCATTCTTCAGTCCTTTTATACGGGTTTGTTTGCTCATCCCCCTTCTGGGTCGGAACTCTGTTTGGATCTCACGCCCCCGGAGCCCGATCCTGCGCCTCCGTGCCGTCGTGTTCCAGCACGCCGCACCAGACTTTTGATTAACGCTCTACCGCGCGTGCCGACATTAATGTGTGTATTCAGTGTCATGTTTTTCCTCTTCACCTAATGTCTCTATTAAACTTGCTGTATTTCACATTCAGGTGGTTCCCTCCTTCTTTAAGCATAACAGCCTCGTTGTCGTAGACCTGGACGAAGCCTGGAGCGGTCTTGTTCACGTACTCTCGTTCTTCTGGAGGAAGCCAGAGGACCTGCAAAGAACAAACGAAGAAAAAAAAAACACCGTAACAAAATACGCCTTTTCACGGAACACCTCATATTTGTGGGACCAAACAGAATCCGACTCGCCAGACTTGGGTCGATGCCAGAATTCAAGATGGTGTTGACCGTGTCCACCGTGTCGTTTCCCTGGTTGGGACTATAGAGGTCAAAGATCACAGAGACGCTGTGCTGCTTGGCCAGGTTGAGGAGCTGAAGCAAGGACGGAACGCTCTGGTTTCTGGCCGTTTCCTTCTCCTCCTCCGAGAGCTGGGACACTGAACGGAAAGGATCCGTCTGGAAAGCAGAACAACCCTTCCTGTGACCGCGGAGCGCTGCGTGATGCACACACACACACGTCATGTGTTAAAGCTCAGCACTCACCTTTAGGAACCATTCGCCTGCATTCAGACTCTGCAAGTCCTCCCAGGTCAGGTTGGAGCTGTGGCTGAAGTCTTCATTGGGAAACTTCTCTTTGACATTCGTTGTTCTCCGCAAGAACCCAGAGGAGTTGTCGTGCATCAAGAAGGGAATTCTGTCTTTACTGGGTTAGAAGAACACACAACAAGCGCAAGGTCAAATTGAATGGTAAATGAAAGATGCATTAGGTTTTGTATGACCTGTATTGACCTCTAGAATCAAACAGAAGCACCCACACTCCGGTATACACGGTTAGTGCTCCGGCTCTGTGGAAACGCCCCCCTCGGCTCACTGAAGGTGACGTACCTGACCTGCACGTCCGTCTCAAAGGCCGTCACGCCGCACGCGATGCTCCTTTCGAAGGACATCATGGTGTTCTCCGGGGCCAGCTGAAAACAGTGAGGACAGTGCTTGAGAAAAGAAAAAGGTCAAAGCGATCTCTTTAAACGATCCATTAGGCCTGTCCTTCCTCTCACTCTATACACTAAAAACCTCAATTATAACCGCCAATGTCTCTAGCGAGGCAGCTCTTTCCAAAAAGCACACTGAAGCGAGGAGGAAGGTCATTAGCGCTAAAAGGCTCGCACCAGCGACTGGATTTTTTTTAACCAGTGTGTAAATAATATTACCATTAAGAAGGAACACAGTGGCCATTTATTTGCTAACCAGCAGCAGGAAGCAAAGGGGATTAACCCCAAAGTAACGAAGAGGTAATACTTCGGCCCTGGAGCGTAGAACGTCTCCGCTGCGATCTCCAACTACGGTCAGAGGTCTGGCCTTTATTACATTTATTATTCCCCAACTCTTCAGGCCAAGAAACTAACTTGAGCACAATCAAAAAGGTACATTTAGAAACAAGAAGTTGAGAATCCCAACACGATGCGAGGTGGAACACGTGTTGCCTTTGGGGTGCGTTAGTTAGACAGGATGCTCACCATGGGGGCCCCGCGGTGACCAATGAGCTTTGGTTTTTCAGGTAATTCGTTGGGCTCTATCAGACAAGGCGACCGGACGCTCAGGGGCCAGAGGAAGATGGCCGCCGACAGCGCCGCAAACGTCACCGCGATCAGGATCCTCGACCCTGACGTGGAACAACGTGACGATTCTCTGAAGCCAGTTTACACTGCGGTGAGTCGCATCAAACGGTTTTTTCAAGCCGGTGTGCGATTAAAAAAATATATATATTTAAAAAATGTATGTCTGATAACATACATTTTTCCTTCGCCATGTTGAAGCCCCTGAAGACGAACGAGCTCAGCAGGGTCAACGCTCCGACGGCACCGAACTGCAAGAAAGGAGCTGTGGCCTGCCGGGAGGCCGACGCACACAGCGGACAGACACGTGAGGTGCACGGAGGACACAACAAGCAGACAGTCGCTCTCGGCGTCGTTCCCCGATGGCGCGAGAGCCTCGCCGTACCTGCAGCGAGAGAGGGATAGTCGGCCGTTCTTGTGGCCACTTGTGACAAATTCCCACCAATCCGAAAGTGATGAATATCACGCCGAAAAATAAGAAAATCTGTGGAGAAAAATATGAGATTCAACAATTCGAACCGCCTGATTCTACGATTTATATTTTGGTGGCTAAATCTTTACCTTATGCAGCCAGTGGAGGTTGAGCGGCTCCCTTAAGGCGACTTGGACCAATGCAAAGAGCTGCAATGAACAGACGATCTATATGAAGATCCAACCTCATGCCACTAACGAACCGCCCCTATAATGTTCTGTAATCGCTTCATCGTTACCGCAACCTTTCACGACCACAGTGTCAGCGCTCGATGCTCACCAGCAGCAGAACACAGTAGCTGGTTAGCACTGCAGAAAGGATGATCAGCACCATGAACCAATTCACCCATTGCTTCAAGTAGTTAAAGCCCTTCCTGAAAACAGAACAAAAGAGGGGAGCACGGGGTCAGTGGAACAAAGGTCACCCCCCCAAAAAAAAGGGAAAGAAGAGAAAGGAATCTGGGCTTTTGTCAGGGAACCGACATGCCCCATTTGTCTGCACGTCTGTGATTTGAAAGTGTGTCCAGACTGTAGAGCGCACCACCTAAATTTAGAAAGAAAAAAAATCTGTGCATATATAAGCCGCAGGTGTCCATATGGTAACATATTTACACAAGGGATGAATTCCAAAAAGTGCCCGTAATACGGCACTAAACACGCAGAAAAAAAAACGGCGGTGGCGATTTGCTTTTTGCCGTCAGTTTGCCCTGCACGGTGGAAACATCTCGGCAGGTGGCTTCAGGGTTCAGGGTTCAAAGCGTGGGGAAAAAAAAAAAAAGTAGGCTTAAAGCCCAAATATTACAGTATGTTCAAAATTGGAAGCAAAGGCAGCAAGCGGTTCTGGCAGCCAGCTATAAGATTCCTATTGGTCCTGAACCAGCGTCGAGGAGTAGCAGGTCCTATCAAACAGGTGTCTGCCTCGTTGACCCTTTCTGACCTTGCGTTCCTCAACCTGGATAATACAGTGACTCCCTAGATGAGCGGTAAGAAAAAAACGTTGTGGATGATCAGATCGCTCACCAGTTAATGTCCTCTTGGTCATTAAACGTGATCATGCAGATGTACATCCAGCACAGGGAGAGCAGGGACACCAGAGAGACAGCCGAGAACCAACAGCCTGCTCGCTTAAGGGAAAAGAACAGGTGAAATGTGTGTTTGAAATGATAACAAAGATCTTTTGAATGCCGTGTGTGTGTGTGTGAGAGAAAGTATGAGTGTGTAAGTTCCAAAGAAAGTTGTGCCTGAAAGACAATGAAACAGGTCCAACCATTTTTATTGATATTTTGCATGAGCTCTGTCCTGACACGCATTAGAAAGTCCTTTCAACGCACCTGTCCATACTCTCGGTTTTGTTCAAAATTGATTGACAGACCCACCCACACCCCCTTTGTAATTATACTCAGCATGAATCCAAAACAAGCCTGTTAGGGCCTGTGAGTTCACTCATCTGTCACGGCAGACAACCTTCATCTGATATCTGATTATCTTTCTCGTGACAAAAAGGACTCCACTTTAATCTGAGATGCATTTTTACGACACAGGAGTTGTGTGGTTAAACTGTTCATTGGCAATAGTTCCCCTGCCTGTATCCTGTCCATTGGAATGTTAATCCCTGATTATTAGGGGTTCGTGATTGTGCTCAGTAGAAGCGCAAGGAACCAGAAGTTTGGAAGCGTAGAATTCCTAAAAATCCCACACCGACGTGCGATATAGAGCTGTACTGAAGGAACAAAGACATGCTCTGTTTCGGATTCCATTAGAATATATTCAAATTCGAAAAAAAGACAAAATATATTTACTTTTCCTGGTTCACTCGGGTGCTTCCAGCTGCAGCTGTAAAAGCCCCGGCTGCAGACTCTGCAACAGCTTCCCTTTTGAGACATCGCTTCTCCTGCTCATTCACCCAGTACGAAGCTCTTGTTCAGTGAGACCAGGACACCTGACACGGCCCGGAGGATGGAGGGAGCCCGACGAGCGCTTTCTCTGGGGGCCGAGGTGAAGCCCAAGGAGAAAAAAAAAAAGACTGTGAGTGACACAAAATGACAGAGGGGAGGATGTCCTGCTGAATAAGCCTCTCAATAGAGCCTGTGTGCGTAATGGGAGTGTCCCCAGCGGCAGCGCTTACGATGGCCGGCTACGTCACAGTGTTGGAGCGGCGACAGGCACGTCCACGCACAGAGAGGAGGCGGTGAGTGAAGCACAGACATCACGGACCTGCTCGAGGAGTCTCTTTGGACGCGGATAGTGACTTTAGAAGTGAGTTAGACGGAAAGCCTCCGTTCCGATGTGGAGCGGGAGAAGAGTTTAGAGCACGATGCCAGAAAACATGTCAGGGCTCATCGTTTGACAGTTGTGCCAGTTCTTAATCACCTCCTGCAGATGAGGGATGACTAAACAACCGGCGTTGTTTGTTTCCCACCACATTGAGAAATGAAAAGGTTTACGGTGCCAAACAAACAGCAATTTCTTGTTTGACTTGATTTGACTTGAGGTCTTGCCAGCTGTAGTACTGCTTGAATGGATCATTTGGTTTCCACAGTCGCAGCCTTCAGGATCACGGTTAGGGCGTTTGGAATAGATCACAACCGTCTTTTGTTTTGATCGATTGAAATGATGTTTGTAAAAAAAATAAAAAAGAGGAATCATTTAATGCGTGTCTGTGATGTCCCATAAGGTACTTTGTGTCATTGTGCATTTTTAAGAGAGTTTTCGGGCCGAATATTGTGCAATAACTGTCATCAGCAATCAGCGATCAGATAACATAAACACCTGGATATGGGAAGGTCCCGCTGCCAATCAAAGGACAGTGAAACACTGTGACTTTCATTTCCTTGTCAAGCACACAAGCTAGACGACATTACTGTCCATTGATTTAACCATACTTTGTCACTCTCAACTTTAGACATGAGCGCACTTAATGCACAAGCACACTCATTAAATGCTTCAAAGTATAACAAACCCATTTAATACTAATAATTCAATTGAACCAAGTCACAGCACCGGCATTGCTCAGCGATTAAACGATGGCACAGAGACACAACTTGCCAGTTCACTGCAAGGTGGTTGGTAATTTAGACGCACAGTAAAAACTGATTATTGTCCAATAAAATATTCTAAAAGAGTTTCGATTTTTGAGAAAGAATAAACACTTGGAGGAAACGGTCACCCCTCACACTGCCACTCGCCCTGATGATTACAGTCAACAGGAAAACTGCTCTGCTGTCACTTTCATTACGGAACAAGTTTATTCTCAACTGTCACCTTTGGTTTGTAGTCCAAACGTTACATTTCACTCTCACTGACAGCTTTCAGCAACAAGATTGAAATCCAATATAACAGATAACTGACTAAACTAAGATCATCTCAACGATCTGCAACATTTAAAACCTACACCGTGCGTATTATTTCTGCTCTTTCTGTTTTCATCTCTCTGGGGATTTTGTTTTAATTTCACAGCTGGAATAGTGGTTCAAACGCGTTTCTATCGATCTATTTAACCATCTGCTGTACCTGCTGAGCGAACATAGAGACTCACCAGAAATGCCCCCGGGGTTGTTGAATTCCTCTGAATAGGCGCTGGAACACAGTCGTGGGAAGACTATCGGTGTGCCTCCCCTCCACTGATCTGGCCTCCTTTCCACTTCGCAAAGAGAATTTCAATGGGTGACAGAATGGGGGTGGGAGCCCAGGCAGAGGGAGGATCCGAGTGGTTTGAAGGGAGCAAGCTGAAGCTGCATACCGATGGTTCTGCAACAAGTGGAGTCAAGAGCGGTGGCAGCTGTGGGAAAATGTTCTGGTTAGTTCAGGAGATGTCCAAGCATGATTTAATGCAAAAACAATTCATTAGTAAATATTTAACATTTATTCCAACACAAAAAGAAAAAGGCAAAGCCACTTTGGCCCCCGAGCTTGGCTGGATTGTATGTCACAACAGCAATTGGTCAAAATGCTTCATACCAGCGTCACTTCTGCAACAGCCGGAGAGGACGTGCAGGAAAAGCACTTATTTAGAGCATATCATATTTTTTACAAACATCACTGGTTACGTTCCATATTAATGATGAGATCCTGCTGGGGGGTTAAAGTGCCATTTAATTCCCTTCTGAAGCATAGCCGTCTGGACTTTGTCCTGATTCAAGGCATTGAGTGCTTCTCTCAATTCTCTTTCAGCTCCAACAATGTTCATGGCGTCATGGACTCTCTGAATCCACTGCTGCTGTTTCACATCACCTTTGTTGGCCTTGGCCTCGAAGCCTTTGCCTCCATACTTGTGGTTTTCACTGACACATCTCGTGTGGTTCTTGTAGTCATCACCGCAGAAATCTTTTCCACAGTCAATGCAGGAAAGGACCTGGCATCCCCGGCACATGCCCACGTGTTTGTCAACCTGGGCTTTCTTCAGGGATTCACCACAGGCGTTGCAGGTGAAAAACACCATTTTAACGACACGTTTTCCTTGCTTATGCCGAATCTGCTATCAGAGATAGCTTAATGCTAACGCTACGTTAGTATAATTGCGTTAAAATAAAGACGGTACAATCATCCGGCAAAAGCGGTATTCGGCAGCCCAGAGCGGTTTCTTTAGACAAAAAAAGGTAGAGAAGCTCATGTAAAAGTTACCAGCGCGTATAACGTTAGAAGACATGAGCTGCGACTTGAATGCGGCCAACTGCCGGATGATTGTACCGTCTTTATTTTACACATAATGGCCCCTACACAACCTCTGCAGCTCATCCAGAATGCAAGAGCGCCACTGGTCTTTAACCTGCCTGCCATCCACTTCACACCTCTTCAGACTCTACCTCCACTAAAAGACTAACACATTGTAGCACTTAAATTGTACTTATAAATCCACTTATCTATAGCAAATTGTAAATTGGCTTAATTGATGAAATTGCTCTTCTGAGTTTGTTGGTTGAAATGCGCTTATTGTAAGTCGCTTTGGATAAAAGCGTCAGCTAAATGACATGTAATGTAATGTAAACGATAAGATGCGCGGCTTAAAGCAGTACAGGATGTCAAAATAAAGATCAGGGGTCAACTCTGGGTTGATTTTCCCTGAGATGGGAAACTCTGAGTCTTGGGTTTCAGAACAGCTGTTTAGAGTCGGTTCAATCAACTCTGAGTAGGGTGACTCAGAGTTGAGCGCGTGCACCGCCACAGCATGAATAGAGCCGCGATACTACGATTCACCATGGCAACCACCACAAACAAATCGACCGGCATACTTCACCCCTACTGACCTGGAAATGCTAATGTGTGCGGCGAGTATGAACCCGTAATTAGAAAAGCGAAAGCAACACCGCTACTGCAGCAAAGGAGAGAGAAAGGGCGCGGTAGAAACTTGCTGCAAGTTCCAATATAGTGTCAGTTAATATTTAATGTACACACTAATCATAATCTATACGTTTTACTAATTCCCAGTGGGAAAATTACATTTTTACACTGTTCGTTAGAATGGACTACACATGCTTGACATACACACCCATGCTCATATTTAATCACAAGAATAATATCACTGGTAAAAACTGGTACAATGGTATTGAAGCTATGTGTTTTATTCAGGTGCATCCTGTGGATCTCCTCTTTAATGGCTTCACTGGTTTGTGTCCAGGGAACCAAAGGTTTAAAAGACGTTTCAGAGCGACGTGCACGTTTCTCACGGCAGCTTTACTAATATTCTAATGTTGTAAAGGAAAATGCCGTTTGCAAAAAAAAGTAATATTATGTGCTCGGATGTGAGAGCATGTCCACGATGGGAGACATTAGTTATTTGAGGACGGGTGAGGTTATGTACATATTTGATGGACTGTGAAGACAAACGATACCGTTCAAACAAGTAGTCATCTGGAAATGACAATACATCTAATCGGTGCCTGATTCTCCCCCGACGTGTGTTTAACACCCTGCGAAGTAAAACCGCTTCTTCATCAACAGGATCGTCCAGAACAGGACGTGCAATGTCCGTGAAAATACTATAACGTAACATTGTATTTTGTGCATTTGTCGAAACTGCGCTAAAATCCGCCTAACACGGAGCACTTGAATGAATGAGGAAATGAAAGCGCGCTGTGTGATTGGCTGGGCTGCTGTCAGAGGGAGGAGACTGTGAAAGAAACTCGAGGTTTGTGTAAGAAAACCAGGTACCGAATCAGGTTCGGTCCACAGGCTCAGTTACCATGGTGACTGGCCCTGAGCTTTAGTTACCTCCCTTTGTGAAACAGACAAGCCAGAATTTCCCTCATCTCAGGGTTAAGCAACTCTGAGTTTTCACTAAACCCGCTTCTTGAAACAGAAGCAGACCCCAGGCCTCTACACTTTATACTAATAGTTTTTCTAGGCATACGAGTCTTCAAAACAGTACCAGAAATAAAAGCATACTTATGATGCAGAATCTTCCATTTCAGCATAATGTTAATTCCATGATATTTAAATTAGTTTAATGTTGCTGCCTGGTGAAGATGGAACTTAATTCTACTTGCAGCGCTGCAGTGAGCCCTCCCGGCCGGTAGGTGGCGCCCGTGCGCCAGATAACGCGGCCATTGTGTTATTACAGGAAAAAGGTGCTGCCCGCTAGCCTTCAGACCGGCAGGTGAGATACTTGGTTTGTTTGCTGTCCGCCACTCGGCATTTACTCCCCCAGAGGTTACGCTCTGTATTTGTCGTTAGAGTTCACATGGTGTTCATGTTAGTTAAATAAGATGTGAGATAAAGACGATGGGGCGCGCTCGTTTTGAGCTTAGCCAGTAAGCTAGCTTTAGCTTCAGCTAGCAACTGGATTGCATATTGTGGTGAGGAATCTTCCACTGGAGGCTAAAAGACGATTCACCGTATTTAATCTCTATCGTGTGATCCAACTGTACATTAATACCACATACGTTTCAGGATTGGTTTAATTATCATAGGGGTCTCTGGAAACTTGTAAATATTCAACAATATGTCATCTGAAAGTTAAAGGATTCGTCTCTTTAACTGGCTCTATGCTGCACTTACACATATACATTGTAAACATAGGCACACATACACATGTTGTTATAACAAGTGGTCCATCCGATTTTAATGAAGGGATTTTCATAACAATACACTTTTTTTTAGGTATTTTCACAAACAATGGATCAGAAAATTCCTTATGACGACTACCAGCTGCCGGTGGTATTTCTTCCTTCATATGAGAACCCCCCGGCATGGATACCCCCACAGGAGGTATGCCACATCATTCGCACCACACTGTAATCCATACATCAGTCTGACAGAAAGATGGACCTCGTGGTACATGGAGGCCAGGTCCAGATCTTCATCAGGACGTCGGTGGTTCTTTTTCTCAGTCATGGAGATCGTCATCACAAGACTTTAGTATGACACTTCAGTCACATGATTACAGGTGCTTGTTTCTTGCTAAATGAAGAAAGATCAAGGACGCTTTAACAATGGAAGGCAATGGAATGCTCTGCACGTTCACACTGTAAATGTAAGGTATCTTAATAAATCAAGGCCTTAATGGATATCATGCCACTGTTCTTATTTTGTCAGCTTTCCCTTTTCTATATACTTTTTTTAGCGTGTTCAGCACCCTGACTACAACAATGAGCTCACCCAGTTCCTGCCTCGTACCATTGTATTGAAGAAACCTCCAGGAGCACAGCTGGGCTTCAACATCCGTGGGGGCAAAGCGTCACAGCTGGGGATCTTTATATCCAAGGTGTGTGTGTTATAGCTTTCACTCGCATAAATGATTTTGGGACTGACTAATTGTTTCCACATCGGGGTGTGTGTGTGTGTGTGTGTGTGTGTGTGTGTGTGTGTGTGTGTGTGTGTGTGTGTGTGTGTGTGTGTGTGTGTGTGTGTGTGTGTGTGTGTGTGTGTGTTGGCAGGTGGTCCCGGACTCGGATGCCCATAGAGCAGGTCTGCAGGAGGGAGACCAGGTTCTTTCTGTAAATGAGGTTGATTTCCAAGACATAGAACACTCGAGAGTAAGTAAGAGCAGTGCTTTCCCTTTGAGCTTCATACAGATATTAATCAACACACTCTTGTATCTACTACATCTTTAGTGTAGTCGTGACACATGTCTCTGTGAAATGGGACTTTTATATTAGAACGTGTCAGGTACATATATCAATGATTATATTATTTTATAAAATCCTTCTATAAGTTTATCCCGATGTTTCACATTTTTCCCTTTTTCTAGAGGCCTTTTTATCATAATGCAGTTTGTTTCTTCTTCCTCTTAAGGCTGTAGAGATTCTGAAGACTGCGCGAGAGATACTGATGCGGGTTCGCTTCTTTCCTTACAGTAAGTCTTACTCTGCTAAGTCATATCCAAAGGAAGAACAACTATAATTTCTTATTCGCGTAAGAGGACGTACTGCGCTCTTAATTTGTAACTATAAATTGGAAGATTGGCCAACTGTGTGTGGTTTGACTGCTCGTTATTTAAAATACAGCCCTCTTTCTTTTTCTGAAAAGCTATTAATGCAAACAAACCTTTAAATGGCATTAAAAAAAGTCAAGATGGACCATTACATTTTCTGGAAGTCCTTTCAGCACATTTCTTCATTTCTTGAAGCATCTGCCACACGTGCAAAAAACAAAGAAGCAGGTTGATTTTAAAAAGACAGATTTGCAACCAAAATAATGCGAAATTGCTTCCACGATGCGTATTCTATGACGTGGCGACAAAACAAGTTATTTTGAGGATTTCCATTCTGATGGCATGATGGCAGATTCCTATTTAAAATCAAATCTGCAGCAGGAATTGTGCCTTTTCATCATCCTCCAGAGTGCCAACACTACGGTACATGCTTGTACAAAGAGACTAAAGCTTCAATAAAACATTTTCCTCTCTGCGACCAAACCTCAGGAAGAGGGAGCTTGTCAGCATGTTGCTGCACCTGCATGCTGTAGCTAGCATGACCATCTGGCTCATCGGGCTGCATATTTTCAACCCGCCCCAAAAATTGGTGCTTTTAGTGACTGAATGATATGATGACCTAGTATAACGTAGTGTGTTTTTCCTCAGATTACCAAAGGCAGAAGGAGAGGACTGTACATTAGATGAGAGGAGAGGAGGGGGCGGAGCCTGTGCAGCTGCGTCACTGCTCGTCATCAGCCTCCTCGTACAGTCTCTGGCCTCCACTGCGTCTCAGCTTCACGATGACTGATGTATGACTAACAGGCTCACTTGAAGTCCTCTGTGTTCGGACAAAATGTACTCCGTTATGGTCTGTTTCCTCAGTCATCCAGATACCTGATCGCTCCCTAATCTGCTGTGATACATGGGGGTTCTTTGACTCTTACAGGATGTATCCACAGGGGAAGATACGGTACAAGCAGAAGGATTAATAAGACATTTCACCCGATAAATTATGGGACCGATACACCTCTCTTAGTGAACCATGATATTTGTAGACCGAGCATTCGTTTTTCCCTCCAAGGCCTGTGATTAATGTTTCTACTGTAGACATCTGTCTTGATGATAAAGACATGAAGGGGATCCAGATGCTCAGCTGAGTGATGATTATGTACACCCACCTAAAACTAATACATCAGCCTGGCACTTACTAGTTTTTCCTGGAGCTTTTGAAAACATGTTATGGTGTAGTATCTTTATAAAAAAAAAAAAAGTTTTTAATGCCATATGTTGACAAACTGTACATACAAAAGAAATATGCATATGACAGCATGGCCTGATATATTTTAGGATAAATGATGGTGCAAGACTTCTGGTAAATATCACTGATTGTAATATCTCTGAATATTCCGTAAATCTAATTTTTAAAAGCGTAATTGTTCGAATACTAATTTGCGTATGTGTACAGGGAGTGCTGATACTAATATACTGTTGTATTAAATAACATGCTTCTGGCCTGAAAATGTTTAATTATTGAATGTATGAACCGTGTATTTGAGAGGCCAAATAGTAGACAACTAACGCCTAACGTGACGTTATGGAGGACGGCGACCACACATCGCGCCCTGCATCTCAAAACCGCTGGACTTTTTGGTTTAATATTCAGATCATCAGATGCACGCTCTGGAAGTACAATAAATCTGTAAACATTTGAAAAGTATAGAAAATATTTTAATACCATCTGTATTTCAATGCAGTATGCCAGTAAACAGGGTTTTTTAAAATATGTGCGTGTTGCATCCCAACACCATCTCATCACGACAAAGTAGTTTCTAGCACCACATTGACGTGGTCAAAATAAACATTTTGAACTCTGGTGACCTTCTCTTTTGTTTAAGAGCCTGAACCAGATGGAAATGGACCGGTTTGCTCTGGTTTAAGTGGACCAACTTGTTCCACTTTGAGTCGGTTTCTCGTACAACCTGATTGTCTTAAAAGAAATGCAGTTAATAAGTCATTAAATTAAACTTTTTTTTTTTAAAGTCAAGACTACATTCCACATCCAAAGATCTTTACTCCATCACTTCAAATAAATAAAATAAAATATCTTTTGTGGTCATTCCTCAGGTAAAGTCAAAAAGCAAACTTGCTATAATACAGATTTTCACTCTTTAGATACAACTGATCTGCTCCTCCTGCTGGTCTGTATCCCTTCAGAATGACAAAACCTTTGATTGCACAACATCAGAAATAAATACAAGGAACCTTCAAACCATCTTCCTGCATTGCACGCTGAACAAAGAAACATGGTTGCTCACTGATCAGGACTAAATAAAACTAATGGTTGGCAATAAAATAAGAAAAGCTTTAGAATGAGAGTACATTTTTGTTTGGCTTTCAGCCTAAAAGACGGAGGTCAAACCCGCCCAGAACAGGTTCTATGTTAACAAGAATGTTCTAGATGCTAACAGACCATTAAATGTGATTTAACAGTATCAAGAGTGACTATCAGGTCTCATTAACTAATGTCATTTCCATTCACAGTCACTTGTAAAGGCAAAGTGGACAACCACGATTCATTTCTTCATCTAAAAAGTGGGTTTGTGTACGTAGCTGCAACAAACAAAAGGCCTGAGAGATGACCCATTTGTAAATGTACTGCTGGAACTGCAGCACATTCGGCAGCTTTAAGTCTGTACAATTCTGGAGAGATGTTTAGCTTAATTCAACGTGTACTGGAGGTAAATGGCAATTTGATCCGTGCTCGTTTCCGTCTGCTAAAACAGCTGTAAACACTTCATGCTCTTGCTCATCCCGCCCCCCAAAAAAGGCACACTGATGTGGAAAGCGGGGCGACATCCCCGGGTCGGAGGTCTCGTATTCAACTTGTGGGTATATACACAGTCTGTCCTCCGGGGGCACCCTCTTCCAACCTCCCCCCCACCCCACCACCCACCCCTTTCAGCACTTTTAGGGCCATTTAGCTGCTGTCCTCGCTGTCCTGAAGGGCCACCTTGTGACTCTCATCCATGTTCTCCAGCGAGTCGGCTCTCTGTATCGACAGCTCGCCGGGGTCCATCATGGGCAGGGTGCTCTGCTCCGGGTGCAGCCAGGGCTTCTGGCCGGGAGAGTTCTGCCGTTTCCACTCCGGGTAGTTCTGTCCCGCCTTGTGCACACACTTCATCACCTGTGGGAGGGGAGGAGATCACAATCAGAGAGCCGCAGGGCGCCAGAAAGAGGGTCACTCCACACCTTCGTTCTCCCAGTCAACACAGCGGAAGATAAGGCGCCTCGCAGAATACTCGGCGGTAGATGTGTGTGGACACACAAAGAATCAAACGATATACAGCTTTGGCACGGGCAACGAAAAAAAAAAAAGGAATGTTGCACAACAGAACCTGAGAGACATTATCTTCACGGTGAAGTCTTTCAAACAACGTCTGCCCATTATTTATATTTATACTGTTTTAATTGGGTTAAAAGTGATCTACAATTAAGGATTACATTGTCTTCATTCTGTGTTTTAGCTGCTTCTGAGTTATTGCTTTAGTCTATAGAGAGGACTGCAGATTACGCAGAAAGTCAAGTGCGTTTTTACACTGGTCTAAGTAGCATCTGAGGAGGCTGTGAAACCCGGGGAACAAGTTCTGCAGAAAGAGCGAGACCAACAGCTCAAGTGCGGAGATGTCTTTGTAAGGAGAGGCCCTAGATTTTGGTTTCTATGGTTACCATTGTCCCGCAAGACACGTGAAACCCTCCCTCCCTGATGTGCATACACACCCACTGCACGCTTTTTAATAGCCTCATGGACACACGCCCACACAAGTGATCATTTCTACCATCGGAACCGTCCGTGCTGCCGTTAGCTAAAGTTGCCAAAACGTTTGATTTGTTTGTCACTTTGTCACTCACCCGGGGAGCGAAAACTTGAGACGCTTGGTTCACCACCCACTTGGGAAGAGAACCTGGAAGAAAAAAAAAAAAAGAGTGTTTTAAAGCTCTAAAAATGGCAGGAAATCTAAATTTAAAATAAGCACAGTGATTTTGGTGGTACCTTTGGGGTCGGCTTGTGAAAGGTAGATGAAAGTGCAGCTGTTTGGCCCCGTGGGCTTGATGAAATATCCAGTGAGGATGGAGATGGCCCTCACGAAACCAGTGCAAGGGGGGTATTTCTGTAATGGATCAAAACAGTGGTATGAGAAATAGTCGTACAAGCGTGACGTTTCAAATGGCCGGAGGAGGCGGAGGAGGCGGCGTACCGGGTGCTTGACTGAGAAGTTAATCACCGTGTACTCGTCCCCCTTCACCTGCCACGAACGCAGAGAAACCACATCTCTGTTCTTGATGGGCTTTGCACAACGCCCTGGAGAAAGAGGAGAGACAAGAATCAGGTTATGCTGCGTTCCTTCACCGTACACACAAACTTAGGCTCCCAGTTTGTTATGACAATAAATACACCAGTGGGCGAGGGGGGGGGGGGCGCGATCTTTAACCCCGACGGCTTCAGCAGTTCACAAGTGAGTCAACAGAAGCAAGTGAATTGTACTTAGCTGATTCATATCAGAGCGCCTTTCTGGATTTGTCCACTGAATTTTTATTTACTTTACAGGCAATTGTGATGGTGGGACGCGAACGCTTTAGTAACGTTGAAAAGTGCTGGACAACAATAAAAATATTACATAAAAACATCAAGAACGTGGGCTTAGAAGGACATAAACACGGGCACTGATTTTGTTTTACTGCTCACATGAGTAGTAGCCCACATCCGCGTTGGCCGAGAGGCGCGCGACGTCATAGCTCTCCATCATGGCGGGGTCCCACTCCTTGCGGTACAGGCCGTCGTGGACGACGTCATACATGGTGGCGGCTGACACGTCGTCGATCTTCATTGAACACTTAAAGAGACAAACGCAAAATTAAAAACAAATAAACCCACCCGTGCAGGCGTTGAGAACAGACGCCAGCGGGACGGCGCGCGGCGGGTATTTCTGTCCGTTTGGCGGGAACGTACCTTGATCTTGTGGACTCTGGCGACGTTGTTTCCTTTATCCGCCGGCGGACTCTCCACCCACACCTTCATCCCGTACTTGTCGTACTTGTTGGCCCAGTTGTCCGTTGATAAACACTGCTTCTTGAACTCGGCAAAGGTCGCCTCGTCGGGTAGAATAGACATGTTCAGTTCAACAACAACAAAAAACTAAATAAAATAAAAAAGTTTCTTCTTCTTCTTCTTCCACAAAAGTTGATGTGACACACAACAGGTTTGACCTCGTCGACCGCTGGCGGGTTTTCTGCGGCTCTGTCACTCCGTCAACCTGATTTTATGCGAGCTGGTCACCGAGCCAGTCCAGCGGGATTTTTTAGCGTGCGTGCGTGCGCGAGAGAGAGAGAGTTGAATTCCTGAGTCATACCTCCGGACACCTTGTCCCGCTGACGTCACAGCCCTTCCGGAATCCAGGTGTGCGACGCAGGTATCGCATAGAAACGAAGAGAAAGGATGTGACTGTTTGTTTTTATATATGTAAATGACACATGTGTTTCCATACAAAGAGACACGTGAAGCCGCGGTTGATACTGAGGGACACACACAGGTGGGCTCTCACAGGGGGGGGGAATAGGACCTTTATACATTTCGTAACTAGTTGGTTCACAACCCCAGATTATTAATAAAATACACGATATTCTAGATTAAGCCACACAACACAATATCAACATGTTAAAAAAGCTACAGCGTTGAGATTTAAGTGATGTATAAACCAATGAATCAATCATACTTATCCAGTAATTTAAAACGATATTATCCTGAAATTTGGGGTACTTTAATCATATTTACCACTTTTTTGCTTTTACTAAAGTAAAAGCGTTATTCAAAAGATATTTTTGAATTTACATTTTTTTTTCTCCACATGCTTTCAATAACTTTTGGGACAAGACATCCTTTAAGGAATTAGACATGTGTGTGAAGGAATCCAAGATCATTACCCAGCCACACCTTCCTGTTACATCACAGGCCTCGATGTTTGACCCGAGTAGGAGTTTCTGCTTGCTTTGACACAACAGGTTTCTCACATTTAACCGACGAGCTGTATGTGCGCTTTCATTTGGAGACGGGAAGGATTGCTTCCAAGGCATCAGAAGTTACAGAACCGTGGATGAGCTCCGGAAAACAGCGTCACAGATGTTACATTTTGGTGAAATATCTTTATTTTTATTCCATGTGATAGGTCTACACTTGTGTTTCATTAACTCTCCTTTTTATACATCACATAGTAATAGTACATTATTCACACAAACGTTGCTAAACACGAGTAGACAGCATATTTCGAATGGACAGACACGATTCAGAATAGCACAAAGCGGAATATTTTAGTCAGTGACAAGTAATAGAAGAGCTGCTCATGTTAAAATGGTTTGATGTAAATCAATTACATTGTTTTTACTCCATTTGAATGCGTTGACATTTCAAAACAAGCGACAGCAAATGACCAGTGTCTTTTGTTGTGCTATGGCAGTTAGTAGAAAACCGTATGTGTGTGTGTCTGGATACAGTGCAGCCTTTGATTTAGCGTGTAAACCAAACTGCTGTCTACACACACGCACACACACTGTGAGAGAGAGAAGAAATGTGTCCCGGCCAAAGTGTCGCTTTTAGGTGGAGGCCGACACGCAAACAATAAATTAAAAAAACAAAAACTTTCAACATGCGTGTAAAAATCTGTACTTTTGGTCAAGCATACAACCGGTTTCTGTATGTCCAAGTAACAAAATAAATAAAACACATAAAACCAACAGTCCTACACAGGCGACGGCATTAGAGCAAAGGATGCTGCGACTAACTTCTCTGCATTTTTACAGCCCGGGTGTTAGTAAGCGTTAGCGGCGTCTGAGGACAGACGCTCGTCCACCAGCTCTACAAAACGACGAGTGAAGCCACGAACCAGTCAGCCGGCTTCTGCTATAGTTTACAATATTGTGGCTTGATTCAGTGCACAACGTTGGTGGACAAACAAGCAAGGCATCTGTGTTCTTATCCATATGAATCCTGCATGGTGAGCATGCTGCATGTTCTTGCAATAGTGTAATCAACACAACACAAAATCTCAATGAGGTGGTGGGCGCGTCGTAGCGACAAAAGTGACAACTTTCCATCCGTGTGGGGAAAAATAAACACTGGCCTTTTTTTTCTGTTTTAAAGGGGCACCTACTAAAACAAAAGGAACTCCTCCTCAGACATATTAGTTTTGCGGGTAGCTACTTGAACAACATGAGACAGTTGCTCTGGTTTTAATGCAGACATGGCTTGAGGTTAGTAGCCAGTCTAGTGAAGCAGTGACAGTTTCCCTTTGATGATCGATTACTTCCTGGTTTGGTGACACATCCCCTTTGTTTTAAACAAGGTCTCAAATGATGTATATTTGGTCTGCTAACACGCAGTTGTATTTGGCAGTTTACGATGTGTTCGGCTTAAATAATACCCAATGAATGAGCATTTATGTGGTAGAATGATGGTTAGTGATGATGTAAATTCACTGGTAAGATCCTGTCTTTACTTCCTCAAAATAAGACAAAGTGAAGAAATAATAACTTGTCTGAGAGGCTAGCTGTAGGCGAACTCCCCATTCAAAATGAAAAAAGTTAAATACGATGGGTTGAGAACTCAACCTTGCAGAGTAATTGAAATAATCCCAAGCAGTTTTACTTTACAACAATGACAAGAGAAACGGCACTAAGAATCCGAGCTGCACGATAACTCAAGAGCGGTTAGCTAATGTCCATCTGCAATCCTATATAATGTCATGCAACTGGATGAAAATCTGATCACATCATTTAACTTATCCCGTGTATTAAATGTTTACTTTGAAACCATATTACCCCCCTCCAGACAATCTGCTTCAATACAGGAGCGCACATCCACACGATTACTCTGAAAAGTCACCAAGTTGAAAAGGGGCACAAAAAAAACAAGACAACAAAGAAAAAACAAAAAACAGGTCCTCCGTCCAGGTGGCAGTGTGTCACGGGTGGAGCGAGCGGCCACTGAGAGACGAGCTATTGGTGGCGAGGAGACAGGCTGGGTGAGGGTGAGGTGTACTAGCAGGAGCAGCTGCTCTCGGTGACAGTCATCTCGGGCTGTTTCTCCAGTTTGATGTCGATCACTGAGAGGACGCCGTTAAGTAACATCGGCAATGAATCGGCGAATTTCGCTTCACTATTTTCTGCGGCGCTACTGTATCTGGCTGCCGCTATCTCGGCACTTTAGGCACTCTAACACTTTTTATGCTGACAGAACTTGCAGGAATTTGTGGGCGTTTTTTTCTTTTGTGTTAAAGCCACAGGTGGCAATAATTTTATAATTTCTGTCGAACGCGGCGTTGAAAAGGATACTGTCCTCTTTGCTTTTCTCGGGGGTGCTATCCATCCCGGGCAATGCAGCAGCAACACGACGGAACAGCTATAAAACAAAGTCAGAGGATTAAACAATTAAACACAATTCTAAAAGCTGTAGTAAATGAAAAACGCTATCAAATAGGAGTGAGTGATTTGGATAAAAACTTCTAGGACAGTGGATGTACTTATAATGTATTGTTACATGGTAAAAGTATTAGAAATTCTATATAAATTCTATGAATAAATCAATGTTGTAAAAATTATACTAATGAAAAAATAAATCATTTTTATCTCCTTTTTCCCCATCATGCAACCTCCCTCAGTCATTTGCTCCATTCCCCACAAAAGGAAAATATAACCGGCAAAGAAGGAATAGTTAACACAGTATGTGCAGAAAGAATTCAGATATATTTCTAATGCCTCAAAATATGTACATTTATAATGATCACCCACCCACACGGCCACATGGCCTGCATACAGTAGAGACAGAAAGTGATCAAAGTAGTCCTCCTAAATAATAGTATTTTGAATAACAGCCACAAGAAGTTAAAAGAAGTGATACAAATCGGAGGTTGCCGTGCTAAACTCCTCCACTGAGCAAACCCACTGAAGTCACAGTCACATGTAGAAAGCTGCAGAGGTTTTAGTGGATCAGACAAAAAGAGCACTGGAGAACACATAAGCAGAACGAGTGAATATAGAAATATCTAAAAGCAAAGCCTTTGAAGGGAGGGGCGGGGGGGGGGGGGTTGCAGCAGGTACCAGGATTACAAGACAAATCATGACGAGTCACGGGAGGGGAAAAGAAGGCAGAAAGAGATAATGTAGACTTTGAGGGCAGAAACTACCTTGCGAGAGCAGAATCTCTACCTGTTTGACATTGTAGCCAGTCTTTGCGCTGGTTTCAATGAACATGACATTCAGTTCCTTAGCTCTCTGCTCACCCTCCTCCGTGGTGATCTGTCTGCTCAGGTGGAAGGAGAGGGGGGAATAGGGACGAACAGACAGATATGGAAAGAAACATCGCAAAGAGGACAGGCCGAAAGGAGGGGGAAGAGATGGAGAGAGAAACAAAAGAAGAGCTCAACGCAGAACCTTGTTTGGTTGTTTTGGTGAAGAAGAGAGGGGTTAGTTTGCTTCGTAACACGGACAGACTGAGAGGAAGACGAAGGGAGAGAAGTAAACGACTCCAGGAGGTCACTCATTCACTCGCCAGCCATGCTCTGATCCATATAATGAATACACAGAGGAGTTGTACACCCCAGGCGGCACCAAGGAGGCGTCCCTAGCCTACAGTGACTGTCTGCTGCTGCTGGACACCAACCTGTTTGACGTTATAGCCAGCCTTGGCACTGGTCTCTATGTACATCACATTGAGTTCACGAGCTTTCCTCTCTGCCGCCTCAACAGAAACTTGCCTGCCATGGACCCCCGGGAAGGGAGGGGGAGGGAGTGGTGTGGAGTGTGGTGGTGAGGGAAACACACACAAAAAAATAAATCAAGATGACATGGAGAAAACAGCAGGAAAATTAAATAATAAAACAAAAAAGCCAGAACAGAAATATAAGCAAAGCATAAAAATACAAATAAAGTCACTAAAATCACTACTAAAAGGCAGGAGTATGTAAAATGCCATGGGATGTTAAAGGTCAAAATAGGATGAAATGCACTGAAGGGAAGAAAAGTGGGATTCCAGGCCGTGGCAGTTTATATACTAAACAATTAACTATTTCAAATTTTAATAACAATAAAAAAAGTACATTCCATTTCTCAACCATTGTAGCTAGAATTAGTAAATAATGGCTTTCACACATCTCACACAACCATGTACCTTTTGTCCGCCAAGTCTGTTTTGTTCCCAACAAGCATGATAATGACATCACTTCCTCTCTCTGTTCTAACATCATCAATCCACTTTGAGGTTTGCTGGAATGAATTAAGATCTGTGGAAGAAAAAACACACAGACTTACTGTATACACATGAACCCCATGCTGCCCTAAAAGACATAAAACAGTTGGTATTATAGCTATAGTTAAAAGTGTGCTCCAGCAGGTATTATTCTTCATTAAAGAAAGGCAACACATTTTGCCAACATAAAGCTTGTTGAGTAGTCGTGTTAGTGAGAAAAGGCTTTGAGCGGAGGAGATTGAAGAAAGAAAATATACTAAAAGGTTACAAGCAGAAGCACATTAAGTAGCAACTATGCAAAGACAGCTTCCATCCAACTGCTCTAGAGCCCTACAGAAAGGTTAGAGTGCAGCCCTGACTCACTGGTGATGTCATAAACAACCACGGCAATGGTAGAGTCACGGATGTAGCTGGGAATTAGGCTACGAAAACGCTCCTGTCCAGCAGTGTCCCAAAGCTGGAGCCGGACCTGAGGATTGGAACGGGAGAGGAAGAAAAAGGACAAGGAGATAAAGAGGGGGAAGGCAGAACAAGAAGGTGGAGAATAGGACAGTCATGTAGGAACTGCAAGCCAAGCCGAGAGATGAAAATGGCCTTTAATGGAGGAACGGGGAGAATCATCCAAATGCAGAAGGGTCAGAGATGACCAGCGTTATGCTGATAAGTTTGCCGTGGAGCGTCATTATCGGGCCGTGTCAGAAGCTCCCTGCCCATAAGGTGACATGGGAAGACATTTGTGACAGCAGTTAGGAACCACTCACCCCACTGCACAGGGCTGGAGAAACGTATTAGTATCTCTGTGGCTCTCATCATGCTGTCCACTGGGACTTTCCCAGGCTAGTAAACGTGCTTTTATTTTTGCCCTTCCAAGTTCTAAGCAAAGGACAAGGAAGTGAGGCAGGGCCATGATACCTACTGGCTATGTCATAAACCACCACAGCAGCGGCTGAGTCGCGGATGTAACTGGGGATGAGGCTGCGGAAGCGCTCCTGTCCGGCTGTATCCCAGAGCTGCAGCCGAATCTGTGGCCAGCCGTGAAATGAACGTGGGAAGGGGGTGGGAGGGGAGCCGCGGGGCATTTCATGACCCAGCCGGGGGATGGAAGGAAAACAAAAACTTCAAAAATAACGATGGAAGCTACAAACATGATCGCATGCCACACAAAATGAATAGTGAAATCTAGGGTAACGTGTAAACAATGTGAAAGGGAAATAATTGGTGGCCATTACAGCTGTTTCAAAACAATGCCAATAGGAATGATGAGAATGACTATAAAATATACAGGGCTTACCGTACGATCTTCTAGGTACATGGTTTTTGACAAAAAGTCAATGCCAATTGTTGCCTGTAAGACAATCACTGCATTAAAACATTTCTTATTGGTACAATACTTGATAATGCATGAGGTCTCCATCCAAGAAATGCTTTTTCCCCCTCAAAACATTTTATGTATTAGTGTATTTAGCACAAGTGAAGCTAAAATCAGTAACAATAAGTAACTATGCAGTCTAGCAAAAGATCTGTAACTGGAAAATCAACAGTCATGATTAATGTGTATGTTATTGCTTACATTTGTTTCATATGACAAAAGACTTCTGTAACATGAATTTTATTTATTTGGAATACATATCATACTAGACAACAATTGTGCATCACAAGGCGTATTGTTTTACCTGATAAGTGTTGTCAAAACTGTCATACATAAACCGGGTGATGAGTGAAGTCTTCCCAACTGTAAAAAAAACAAACAGAAACAGATATGTTAAAACTCCTGTTTATCAATGACCGTACTGTACAAGGTCCAATCTCCAACGTTAAGATGAAATACCCTCTTATATCCATTGTAGTTCTGTATCATACGAAGAGAAAATGAGATGAAAATCAATGGATCCGTGGCCACAGATGGAACAGAGCTATAAGCGTCGGCGCAATGTGGACCTGAACCCACACGCTGAGCTGGCACTATGGGCGGAGCCTCGGCATTTTTAGGAAATGAAAATAGCTCGCCTTCTTACATTTGTTTTTGGGATAAACGACTTCCACTGCCATGTTAGACGATCACATCTCTAATGTGATAACGTTTAGTAATGTCCGTGTCCCTGTGAGAACGTTGAATGGTCCGGCGAGAGGCCGACCGGCCTGGACCAGCTGGCCGACGTGGCTCTGCAAGGTGCCGCCGTGGACATGCTAACAGCTAACGTTGAGTTAGCCGTTAGCGAGTCGAACAGAAATACGGAGGAACCTAACTAGCGTTAGATAATGCTGAGGCATCTAAAACGCAAGGACAGCGGCCCTTACTTTAATAAGATAACACACTAAATGTAGGCTATTCATAAATTACCCTGTTATGAAACGGTAACTCAATGTATGTGGCCGTTCAACGTTAAAGAGCGAGATGTTTGGCTAGCTCACCGATTTAGCGTTAGCTGACAGTACAATGACATCATCACGAATGAGGGAAAAAAACGTTATATCCGTAATGTTTTCGTCATCGTACTCCCTCTTAAATACTGTGTTAATAATTACATGTCAATATGTCAGTTCCTATCATCACGGGCCGTTCACCACCGATGGATAACTTTAGCCAGCAGCCAACTAGCTGGAGGAGCTACCTAGCCAGCTAACATTAGCTAAATTTTAGCCACCTCTTCTAAAAAATAATCCCCACAAATTAGAATAAATGCACCGTGTCTCGCTTACCACTCTGTTCGCCCAGAAAGACAAGCTTGAACTTTCGTAGAGGGTTGCCAAACTCTCCGCCGCCGGTCGTGGTTGACATTTTGTCCAGAAAATAAAACTGCTAAGTAGCCGACTTGGCTAACGATGCGACGTCTAGACCGGAGAGGAGCAAGTCGTGTATCTCTGTCCTGCACTAGCTAGCGCTTTTGTTTTCTTAACCGCATCGAAGGGAAACAGCGCGACCAAGAGGCAACTGTTGACAGACATAAAAACGGTAAGGCAAACCGTATAGCATGTCCATGTTTATTTTATTATGCAACACGTTTTTAATTGAGCGGAGAGTACTTTAAATACTCTGATTTTAGCTGTTGTGATGGGATTTTGCTAAGCTAACGTTAGGTCACGTGGTGGGGTTGGTATTTGTGTGGTGTTTTGGGGTCACAGATTTGAAGCAACTGGGTCATTAAACCGCATCCGTGTAATGCAAAATGAAAGCTTTTTTTATTGCTGCCATTTTTAGTTGAATTATTCAGATTTCTACGAAAAGTTGCTGCTGTTTATTTAAGACCCAAATAAAATATACAGTGAGGATAAACGTATTCAAAATTCAACTAGATTAATCCTAATCCTAAAAGTATAACTTTAGATAACGAGACCGTTATGAGGGTATTCTTTTACGTTTATTATTATATTATTATTATAAACATTTTTACTACGGTTTATTTTGTAATAACGAACGTTGTCGTATGGTTGGTTCTCATTTTAAAACCAAAACAAATATAAGCCTTGAAATAAAATATACTGAGCAAAATAAACACACAGTAAAAAAAATGGGGGAAAAGAGTTTATTACATTTTTTCACCAATAATTGAGAAACAAGTTGGAGGGTTTCTGGGATATTTATCCCGTATCCTAATATACCATTGCTTAAATAACAGCAATAAATATTGAGAATAGTTCGATATTGGTAATCATGACACATAGAAAGAAAACTCTACGAAACATTATTTTGAAACGGCAACATATACAGTACTTGTTTGCATTCAGAGAAATGTCACTCAGTCTTTTTTAGACTCTCCTTTTAATGCCTAATAAACGTGTAATTGTACAGGGGAAATAAGAACATTGTAGTGATTCAACGACACTGTGTGCTTGTCTTCGTTGGTGCTGAGTTCCTTTTTGTTCTATATTCTCAGAGAGGGGATCTTCCTTCGCTGGTCATCTCACCCCCCCTTCTAGGCCTCAATTGAGATGTCTGCCCTGGTGGCATGAAACGAAAAAACAGGTGATCTGTGAGTCCGACATTACATCACAAGATAACCCCTGACCCCATTTCATCTCATTTCACATACAATGACTTTCTTTACAACACGTAGCAGATTACCCTTTCTTTTGCGTATGGGTAATATGGGTATGTGTATAGTGCAACCTCTCAATTAGTTACAATTTGATTAAGTAAGAATATAAAACATTTTGTAGGTGGAGCAGCAAGGGTACAAATTAATTATTTAAAATGAAGGCGATGCGGTCGTAGGACAAAACAGTGCACTCATTCAAGGACCACTGTAGCTATATTTGGCTTTGGAAAGGCCTGTCATGCAAATGAAGCTCTAACATTGCCGTTTTCAGATTTAGTTATTCATTTTGTAGCCCTTGAAGGAGTGAATGTTGTAAAATAGCCTACACTAAATTGGAAGGGTCCTCACCTGAACTAAGGATGGCTTTAATCCAACTGGCTGTGGGTCATTAATATCACAGAGGAGAAAAATATAAGCAGCGCGTAACAACCATCACGGCCACAGGTTGACTACTTTCATAGGGACTAGTTTATACTTACACTTCTGCTCAGGATACAGCGATGACATGCAGGGAATGGATAGAAGGAGAGGACATAGTCAATAATTAATCAGTGCTCTCTTTCTGATGTAGAAATGTTTCATGAAGCATTTAAAAGGACTTTCACTTGCCTGCAGGTTTCGGGGACATCAGAGTCAATGGAAGCTCCAAAGTGACATCGCTGAAAATGAGTAAAATACCATTTTTATTATCAAAAATACACAGAATAGTAATTTATATGTTATTAACACAATTATCATGAAATACAATACATATTTACCTTCCAGTTAAGCCCCCCAGCAGGCTGTTTGTGTGAGAAAAAAAAACAATAAAATAACCATTTAGTCTGCTCAATTTGAATTATCCTGCATAAATACTTTAACAGTTGTGAGCCTTACCCGCCACCGCCCGTTGTTAGATTGACCTTGACCTTATAGGAGATGATGATTCCCTGCATCTCCTTATCTCCTTGACTCCTGCGAGGAGACAGGAATAGTTAAGCCTTCAGAGCTCGAGGATTTGGTCTAAGACTCGATAAGTGGATGACACAAACTAGAGTTGTATCACCGCCACCTCTCAATAAGAGGATGAAAACCTCCTCCCGGGCTCACGGTAATCCCCCCCCCCCCCCCCTGATGAGGGACTTGTGGCTTACAGGGTTGTGGACGCAAGGTTGGTGTCCTCGTCTTTTAGCCGACCGTCCACCGAAAGGCCGCGCTTCTCTTTGTTGTTGGCCAGCAGCGGGGTTATTTGGAAGGACTTCTCGAAGGAGGAGTTGGCGTTGACCGTCTCCCTGAGTGTAGCAGAGAAAGATACAAATAAATAACTAATAAAACATGTCTGACTTAGCAGATATTATTTGTTGATTGGTAAGTTTTTCCTCAATCCATAAAGAGATGTAGCAATGCACATCTCACTTTTTTGGAGGATGTACTTTTCACAGGGATCTACAGGTATTTATTTGAACAGAAAATACTAATTCCTAAATTTATTCAATTTAATTTCAAACGATAATAATAAGCCTCTTGTCAACAAGAGTGACGGCCTTACGCGAACTCCTCTGAGCAGACCATCTTGGTGTAAGTATCGGATGAGTAGAGCACCACACTTGCAAGCTGCTCGACTAAGAGAGAAGAAACAGCTGTTAGAATGATTCGACTCTTTAGCGTATGCACGCTTAACCCTTATCCTCTTCTGTTTCTCTGCCTTCATGCTTACAAGCTATGCACAAACACTTTTAAAGAACCAAGCTTCGGCGGAGTGCACCGTGTCCGTGCTGCTCACCTAAAACTGTGATTTTCTTCACAACCTTGGTGGTTTCGTTGTTGATTTTTACGTTGACGACGATTGGATCTCCGTGGTAATAAATCTAAACATGAGATGCGTTTTAGTTGAAACCACTATAGCAGTCGTAAAGTGTACGCATATAATTGGGCCAAAATATAGTATATACACTTCGATGCACCTCTTTTTCAAGGGAGGCCTCCAAGATCACCGGCTTGTCACTCATCATGAACTGCTTTGTGATTTCAGCCTTGGGTCCAGGCTTGTTGCTAGATGGTGCAAATTGTATTTTGCGAATCATCAGGCGGCACGTGTCCCTGAGACCACAAAAAGAAAGTGCAAAGAGAATCACGGTCCCTCCTACGTGCCCTTGAATGCAACGCGAGACGGGGCCGACAGAAGGCTTTGCCTCTGGTCTTACTACATACTTCTTTTCAACCTCTTCATCCGGTGTGTTGGCGATGTACGCTTTAATCTCAAAGTCCACACCGCAAGCCTAAAACAGAAGAAGCGGCTAATAAATGATCTGTCTGTCCAGCTTTTAGAGTAGTAAATAGAAGTAAGGGGGGAGCGGGCTGATGAAAGTGGGTAGTCGCACCTTGCCAGCATCATTTGGCCCTGGCTGTAGGGAGACTGAACATGGGAGATTGGCTGGCATCTGAAAAAATGACATTCAGCTAAGTAATGTGTTGGTTTTCCCTCGATTTTTTGTTTCTCTGATGGAATGTTACGCGGCCGCCTACCTGGAAGGAAAAGGGACATCCTTGCTCTCCAATTTTCTTCATGAGGGACTCGTGCATTGGCGTTTTGGTGACGCTCGCACCCGTAGGTGGGTACACCTGAACGCGCTGTATCCAGATGTCTCTCCTGAAGGACAGCCCAATAACATCCAAGTCATCGCTTCCATAGCGGAAGGCACAAGCAAGGTAGACAAATACTGCAACGGAAAGAGATGCGTTCAGTGTGATCTTTGTGCTGCGCGCACGCGGGAACCACAGCCGTTCATCGTCGACGGCCAATGAGAGGGAAATACCTTTTTTGCCGTCAAGACCAGCCGGGTCCACTTTAACGGCGCCGTCTGCAGATGGGAGGAAAAGCCTCGGCATTAGATCGCACGGCGTACACTGTGTGTGTGTGTGTGTGTGTGTGTGTGTGTGTGTGTGTGTGTGTGTGTGTGTGTGTGTGTGTGTGTGTGAATTAGAGCATGCACAAACAGACGCTGTGCAACGCACCAACTAGTTCCACTGAATCCACGTTGTCCACAAAGTCTCTCTTCCCCAAGTAGAGGGCAATCTGTAAGGGACATGAGGGGGACGGGAGGGGGGGGGGCAGTTACTCCTCAGCTACACGAGTCCGAAAGTTATTCGTGGAGTTGGAAGGGCTACACAGAAAATGCACTCCTCCCCGTGGCCGAGGGCTGCTTTATAATGACTATAATATAGAGGCCACTTACATGACCGTTGCCGCTGGTCTTCTTGTATACCCTGAAAAGAGAGAAGAGAAGTGAAGGTTTCTGTTACTGTTTAGCCTCCATGGATGTATTCGATGGAAACACAAGAATTCAGAAATGTTATTATTTTTTTGCATATCGGTCTGATTTAAAAAAAAACAAAAACATTGCGTTATATCTAATATGAACAACTCAGTTTAACTTAAGCATTTAATCGGATTGCAAAGTCGATGAATGGGTGCTGATTTAACTATTAGACTCTCGGATTTCCTGCAGAGATTTTACCTGTTGTATTGAATGTTGAATATTTCGCATCAAACATTTGAGATTCTCAATCCCAATATTCCAAAACACAATCGCTGTAAAGCATTCTAGCATCTAACAGGTGGTGTTTGCTTCTTTCAATGTGTTCCGGGTGTTAAACTTTTACTTTGTCTTGCAAATCTCTCCTTCAACGTCTCATCCTCAAAATCCACCTCAATGATGAATTAGAGAGAGAGGTAAAAATGTTACTTATAGGCCACGGGGTTTCCTTCTAGTAAAGTTACAGCAATAAAGTCTCCGCCTGGACACACAGACTTTCCTTGAATGTAAACCAGTTACCATTTCAGCATATCTGTCCAACGAATGAGTCAAACATCTTAATACTCACTTTGACATTTTGAAAGCAAAGTTATGGATCCGTTCTGCAAATAAAAAAAGATGCAAAGGAATAAAGCTGAACAATTCAAGAAGAAATGTTCCTCAAACTTTGCATCATGTCATTGATTAAGCGTTTGCTCCTGTAGAGTAACGACCGTGACACATCTTCAGCATCGTATCGCTCCAATACATTTTTAAACGTTAGTCGGCGAGGGGAGCCGCTCGCTTACCGCTGCCCTCGGTCTTCTGTAATCCGCCGCCGCGTCGTGGGAGTGAGGGAGTGAGTGAGTGAGTGAGTGGCAATCATTGCGTCCCGTGTGCTTTTTATACGGTGACCTCCCAACCTGGGAGCCCTCCCCTCAGCTTACCCGGCCCGACAAACAGGCCCGTTTTTAGAGAAAATCTGATTAATTCATTAGAGCACTACTGTTTTGGTGCTGTGGGTGTGTAAAAACAATTGTTGTATTTGTCACAAGCTCAGAGGCAGTTCTGTGGGTGGGACGAAAGAACCAAGTGCACTGAAGGGGTCCGCTGAGTGAGACCATGTCGGCCACTTGGTCTTCCTCTCTATGTATGTGTGTGTGTGTGTGTGTGTGTGGGTTTTCTCTCACGTAGCAATAATGTTCACTGACGGTTTTGCACACTTTGTTCCACATCAGCCTCGCCCAGATCACGACCCAGAAACAGCCAGCCGTCGTTGGCTTCTAATGTCACTGTAAGTGTTTTAAAGGAGACTCCTGTCACGGAGGCCGTCTTATCGAACCACTTTTTTGTCGCGGCTCAGCGATCAAATATGTGCTTAACTTCTTTGCCCCGTGGTTTTGGCACTCGGGGATTAGAGGATTGTCTCGTGAAAGAAGTATTTGTGAATGTTCAAGGACTTCCTTTCTTATGGCTTATGAGGAAGCAGAGTGGTATTAGTTGGACTTTAGTTGTTGTGGCAGCCAGGACGACAGATGGCTCCTCTACCAAGCTCCGCGCAATCTGCGCTCATGGCAGGTTTACAGAATTCTAAGTGACCTTCCGACTTATTGCTGTTTAAGCGAAAAGGCTTTACAACTATTAAAAAAAAAAAAAAAAGTCACCGCGCCAATTGCTTCCACCGTCTAGGGCTGGAGGTTCGGGATTAGCTTGGCTTTTACCGCCCTGAAAGTGTTATCGGCAGTGACCCTTTTCTTTGTTGCGGATCCGGAGCCACGGAGGTAAATCCTGTGGATTGGTTGAGGATCTTCTCGCCTCCTCAGTCAGCTGTAATTGATTGATTAGCGAGGGAGCTGGATGATGGGTTTTACGGATGGCTTGTCACACCTCGGCCCCCCGAGGGGGCAATGAATTAGATGGTTGGATGTGTGTGTGTCGGACTCCAGTTCAGCTGTCATATGAGGGCTCGGTCCGCGATCTCTTTAAAGCCGCCCGGGTCGGACAGCACTGCTTCACGGCGCCGCCGACCCGGATCATCGGTCAGGACGTGGCGACGAGGTCTTCCGTTTGGGAGGAAAGTTTAAAAGAATCAGAGCAGTCTTGAAGACAGTTTGAAAATCACACTTATATATAATAAATTGCGACTCCTCACTTGAGTTTAAATGATTTCTAGAAATGTGTTTCCATAGAGATGAACAATGGCAGAACTTAATCTCATATGTGGCAGGTCATAAACCCCCTAAAATAGATAATCTGAACGCTTCTATCTTTGTCCTTTCTCTCCATTTCTATTATTGGCATCAACAATCATTCTGATACCGCCTGTGTGCGCTTCACTGGTCAAAACCACATCTGGAGGAAACCGCTGTGCCTCAAAGCTTTACGCCTCAACCGATGGTCTCGTTGACCGATGTGTTTTCTTCTCACTTTTAGGCAATTAGAATGAACCGCGTGAATTAATGAATTAATCGGATCGAGACAGCCGAGTATGAACGTGAGGTTCAGTCTTTTGGACGAGTCTTATTTTCTGTCTCCTTTTGGATTCTCAGCGTTCAGTCTTCTCTGTGTGAGGTTACGCTCAGTCGCATAAGCCCCTTACGCTTAATCTGATGCCACTTTTGGCGAGCTCTTTATATAGACCGTCAACATGGTGCCTCAAAGGGCTGCTGACTTCTCCCACGGCAGTAATGCCCTGTGGTATTAGCGCTTCTTAACAACGCTCATTTACAACACACAGCTTTAGCGTGTCCTTAAGTTGAGGCTGTGTTTTGTGTGGTTAGAAAAGGAGACAATCAGATTGGACTGATGGCGAACTGTGTGACGCGTCACCAGGTTGCATGAAGTCATAAATCGACAGACAAACGCGCTGAGTACGAAGTTGGTGATGAAGGGGAGCTTACCGGTTTCTGTTAGTTACGCGGTGCAACTCCAATGTGACCTTTCTTCAACTCGCCGCCTGTGTGATGAGCACAACGCACCCACCAGCCGATGCGTATTATTCACACGGCTCGCTGAGTGGGGTTGTTCTTTTTTTTTTTTTAAGCATTATCGTAGAACTAAATAAATGGCTTTTGTCGTTTATTATGAGATTTAAAAAAGAAGAAAAAGGTTTCTGAATGTGTTGTGGAGCTGAATATATTCAATAGAAAGCTCTAATCCTCTTTGCTGTCGGCACGCATTTTATGTAATCAAGTCCTGGCTCTGTGCCTGGCCTTGATGATACAACATACAGTAATGTTATGCATTTGATGGAGGTAGAGCACTATATGAGGACAGCTCCTCGAGCCAGTTAGGTTGTCTAGAACAGTGCTGATTAAATTCCAAATCGGATCTGACAGCCGGCGAGGAAGATGAAAGTGAGCCGGCGGTTCTTAGCGATGGAGAACATCTTGTCATCACGTCTCAGTGATCGGCCTCGGTATCCGGCCCTCCTCCTATGAGCGGAGCATTTAGGTCTGGATGGAGACGAGGTGTTAAGTTATCACTTAAACGTCCACAGTTCCCCCTACAAATACTAAACTAAAGCGAACAATATTGTTAGCTAATAAAACAATATAAGAAAAACTGAACTGAATTTCCATGACAACCCAAATTCAGACCGCTAAAGGTCAGTTTGTGTTTTAATGATCATCTGGAACGTGTTGTCATGACGACGTTCGCCCCAAGCACAACGCACAGCCGCAACGGACCACAGCGAAGTACGTCTTTCAATTGATGTGCTTTAGATTGCTTCACTGAGAAGCACTGATTACACACCGGGGCTGAAATGCGCGTGTCATCCCATTGGAATGCACTTGTTTTTACAGGGGCCGCGGTCGGTGGTCGGCACATTTCTGCTGAGTAGCGAGAGGAGGACCAGCAAATATGGGATGAAACGGCTTCCCGCAGAGTTGCGCGCTGCAGCTAATGGGGGGGGGGGGGGAGGGAAGTAGGAGGGCCGAGCGCCGGCCCGATGTTCTAGGAGGGCAAAAATAAGAAAAGCCAAGAATGATCACAACCATATGGAGGCTCCTTTTTCCTGAGAGGGAAGGAGAGAGCGAGAGGGGGAGAGAGAGAGGGGGGACGTTCTGGAAGGCTGACGAGAAGGAAACATTTGGGACGGGGAAAAAAAAAAGAAAGGTGGAAAGAGAGTAAAGATGCCTGCCAAGGGGATGAAACATCAGAAGATAAAGATGATACAAGAAACATGAGGAAACCGAGGAATGCGGCAGCTCACATATGTGTGTGTGTGTGTGTGTGTGTGTGTGAGGGGTAAAATGTGTTTTTCTATTCTGGAATTTGAGGGCAGGGTCTGAGGGTAGGAAACCGGAGAGAAGAAGGAGAACAAGGAAGCAGTCTGCTGTTCCGCACTCCGGTGGCGGATTGGAGCCGCTCGCAAGACTTCTCCCGGCCATGTCCGCCGTCTGGAATGTCCAGTCACTTCCTCTGTCTGCCCGGCGCTCCAACGGAGGGTTGTCCTCCCTCCCTCCCTCTGCCCTGACAGCACTCCCAGGAACCCGCCGGGGACCGAGCCAGCCACCCCCGACGGGACGCCGCTGACGGGAACATCCAGCATGAGCGCGAGACCCCCGGAGTCGCCCGCATCCAACTCGGACACGCTGCGAATGGAACCTGGGCTCGGACGAAGCGAAGGCGACTGCAGTCATCAGCTCGGCTTTTTGGAGGGTTTTCCCATTCCCCGTTCCATATGGCAGCGGAGCCGGGGAGTCATTTGAATTAGTCTGGTTCCTGTTGCATGCCTGTCTGGTTTTCAGCGCTGACCGAGTCCATCCTGTTTGTTTCCGCCCCTGCCGTTTGTTTGTTTTGCCGCTCTCGGTTCCCCTTTTGCTGTTGTTTGCACGTTTTGGGACAAGACGAGGGCTTGTTGTGTTTGTGGTGGAGCTTAAAGGCAGCGGCACCGCCTCAGGGCCGGCTGCTCCATTCAGACCTCCCTCCCTCCGCCTCCCTCCGCCCCCCTCCGCCGCGCCGCTGTGATGGTCCGTGTTTGTTGGAGCAACACACCCACCCGGGCGCAGCGGCTCTCCGCCGCGGGCTGAAACTGTGTCTCTCTCTGCAGCCGCGTCCTATCAGAAAGCTGCACTGGAGCTTTTGCCCAGCTCACCATCGGGTTGCCTGTTGATGCTTTATTCCTCCACCGCCACAGGATGTGCGACCACCAAGGAACTGTCAAGGACCCGGGAAGTGCTCGCCGGTGTATCGTGAAGAAAGGGATCATGGGAAAGTTCTAAACGCCAGCAGTACGCCTCAAATCAAACTCTGGCGCCGAAAAACATGGACGGCCCTCCGCCGGCTTAAACCCCCCCGGGTTAAGTTCATCGCCTTATGTGGATTATTTTTTATGAACACATCTCCCGACGTCGATCGCCATGGCTACGGCGGCGTGGTATCACCGTGACATCAGCCGCGTGCGCGCAGAGGACCTGCTGGCACGGGCAGGGAGGGACGGCAGCTACCTGGTGAGAGACAGCGAGTCCGTGCCAGGAGCCTACGCGCTGTGCCTGCTGTGAGTATACACAAACACACACACACACGGCTGGGGTCAGAGGTCGCCATCAGACAGAAATGCTCTGCCGCCGTACTTTTAAGCAGTCCCGGTTGTGAACTTGTTCTGTAAACGATTGTGCAGGCGTGGAGCCGAACTTAAAAGCCAGGGAAGTGGGACGGCCCTTTACTCACCAGACGTCATCCTTGTGAGTCCGATTTGATATGCTCCACCTTAATGAACGACTCACTCAGGACGTCCCGAAGTAGTAAAAGCTGCCCGATGTGAGACGGAACCGGTTTAACCCTAAAGCCATATCTCGCTCAGCTCGTAACTTTTGGTATTTCGACAAACGGGGTTGGAAGCGATTCCTAGTCGGAACATTTCTGAAGAATCGTCCGTAAATCGCCTCCTCCCGCCATATCCATCCTCTGCCACCAGAGAGCAACTTTAAGGGATTTAACTTTAAGTGCCGACTCACACAAACATCCTCTCCAGACTAGCGCCCACCTCCGGCGGCCGGGCCCTGGCCCCGGGACTCCCCGTTTCCTCTCTCACCCCCATTTCTTCCCCGGGGCCCCTGGAGGAGGGCGGGAGCTCCTGCGACCGCACTACGCTGACTGCTCATCAGCCCGAGCCAGAGACATTCCTGAGAGCTGAGCCCGGCGCTCGCACAGCTCCCTGTCCCCCCCCCCCCCCACCCCCTCGCCCCCACCAGCCCTTCGTTCTTTTCTCCATATGTCATTCCCTCTTTTAGTTTGTTGAAACATCTCCAGACATTGGATTCGGCCGTTCTGCTATCGTAGTTTCCCCCCCCCTCTGTTCAGGTAACCCTGAACAGCGGTCTGAAAACTCAACTCCGCGCCTTTGTTGAGAAAGTGTCTCAGACGTCCTCACTTGAGTGTACTTTCCCCTCATGAATGTTTGCTCTCAAGCGTGTTGTTGTTGTATTTCTGGTTTCCGAAGGTTCCAGCGTCACGTTCACACCTATCGCATCCTTCCCGACGCAGACGGCCATCTAGCGGTGCAGGTGAGACGCGATCTGTGTCTGTGCGCGCACACACACACACACACACACACACACACACACACACACACACACACAGTGTGAGGCAGTGGGTCGGATGGAGCTGGTCGGATGTTTGTGATGTCGTGGGGGAGAACAGGAACGGGTTTGTGTTGTTGTTCCTACTCAAGCTACACACCACGTCACTGACCAACGGGTGTGCTCATTTGTTGTGGTTAATAAGGGGCTTGTTTGGGTGGAGGGTCATTTTATGAGTCTTGTTTGTGAGGCTCTGAGCAGCGGGCCATTTAGTCTGCAATTAGCCGCTGATAAAAACACACACACGCACAAGTCTGCAAGCGCACAGTGGGTGGGATGCACCGAGGGAAACACTTTCAGGGGCCGAAACCGCAAATCGTCTGGGGCTTTTTTTGTTGTTGTCTGCATATTAAAGTCCAATAACGAGTTCATTAATGATTGTCTGGCAGTGTTTTCTCCCGTGTTTTCAAGTGAAGGCCGTAAACTGAGTTGCTATTTCAGTTGTGTTTCCACTCCCATCAGTGTAAACCTCCAGTACGTATTTTCTGTCGCAGGCTTCCCCCTTTTTTGCTTATCCAAGATGGCCATGCAGATATTTCCGGGCCCGGTTTATTTTGGGGCCCTTTTCGCTCTCTCACTGTCTCTTATTCCTTGTCATTTCTTTTTAATTGGTTTTCAAGAGATTCTTGCGGTCTGAGAAATACTATTTGTGGAGTTCCTGGCAAAACTGACGTGCAGCTTAAAGCCAAAAAAATGGTTTCCTTTCACCGCAGAAGGAAAATGTCTATAAAAGACGGCGCAGGAAAAGAGCTCGCGTGGTGGTTAGCTTGTGGTCTAACGTGAACTCTGTGGATTTTGTGCACGTAGCGTTGTTAATATGCACGCACGCAGCACCTGTGCACAGTATGTGTGTTTATTCAATCTTACATTTTGCCTGCGCTGCATTCAGTGTCACTGAAGTGCAGCTCTGCAGGTGATTTGTCGGAAAGTTTTTTTTTTTTTGTCTGAAAGGGAATGCTTAACCACGTTGAAACATTACGGGACGACTGGTGCTGCAGCCGCGAAGCAGCTTTCAGCGACGTCATCTCTCCGGTCCGATGAAGGACCAGCAGCAGGCCGATTTTTATCACAGCGAGTCATCTGTGGCTTTTTTCCGTCATGCAAATAAATACTTCTGTTTTGTTCTTCCAAGCGAGATTTCGTGTGTGTGGAAACATCTGCTAGTAACCACATTAGTGTGCAAGCTAGAATTGGGCAGCTGTTATATTTTAATTACTTTTTTTACTTGAATTTTATTCGTATCATGCAACATTTTTGGCGTAATCAGGCTTCCTGGGTTTCTTTAATTGCATTTTTTCTTAATTTCATCACCTCGGTTTTCCCCAAAAATATGTGTAGAAAGGACAAGAAAGTGAAGCTTTAATAAAACTTTATTAATTAATAAACTATAGAGCGAGGCATTTAGTCTGACAACTTATCTTTATAGCTGCTATGTATATTGTTTTCACTTACAAATCTGTATTGCACAAAGAAAGCTTATCAAAAGAATAATTCGAATTTAATAGATTTAAACAGCAACGAGTGTATTCAAAAAAGGTGTCATGTGACATCAGTGTGTTGCGTGCTGGTGCAGATGACGTCTCTCGTCCTCCACCGTGCACGTGGTGACGGTTTCTTTGGTCTTTCCAGTTTGTGTTTAAAGCAACGCATATGTGTCCATTATCACAGCGCATGTACTTACTGACCTTTTGCGTCTCACAGACGACACAGGGGGCGCAGGTAAGCTGCTTCCGGACCCTGGAGGACCTGGTGTTGGGGTACCAGCATCCCCACAAGGGCCTGGTCACTCCTCTGCTCCACGCTGTCGCCCGGGATGCGGACGGCGGGGAGGAGAGCTCAGGTGAGGCCGCCATCCGGCGTCAAAACAGATCATCAAACGGTTCACGTCGTGCATTGCACGCGGTAAAAGATTCCTACCTGTTACTGCTGACTGTAGCTCATTATTGACATTTGGTTTACATGTTTTCTGCACGCACAGATGACGAGAAGCAGCCCCCGGGTCCGTCCTCGGTCCACGCTGTGCCTTCCGCAGCACCGCCGGCAAAACCAGCACCTCACGGCCTGTTTCTGGATGCGCTGCGGGAGCGGCACACATCCAGGTGGGAGTTATCGGTTTGACCAAAGGCGGTCCCTGCACGGCGTTAATTTAGCTTGTACACCTTTTAAAACCGAGAGCGGCTTCTTGCGAGTGACGATGTGTGCCTGTTTATTGGTTTGTGACAGGAGTCGATTCATGCAGTCGCCTAAATGTGCACCTGCTGGCAATCAAGCATGTAGGAATCGACATGTGAAACACTCTTTTTACACTGCGTCCAAAAACGGCACAGATAGTGTATGCTGTGTGTGGCCTTTGATGGCAGATTGGCTCTCACGCTTTCTAAAACTTTAAAATGAATTCTTCCTGTTTTTATGCCGTCGGCAGCGCCGCGGGTGACGTGATCGATCTACTCAACGACTACCTCTTCAGTGAGCTGCCTCTTGACATTGAGAATGTGCACCAAGGGGCCACGACTCTGTCCCACCTCAAGCGTACTCTGGGTACTGCGTGCCAAGGCTTAAACAGGTCAGCATAATGTAATGGTGCACTCCACACTCCACATCATAACCGGTGGATGGTCTTTATCAAAGGTTTTGTGTTGATCTGATGCAGCGAAATTGACGTGACCCTCTCAAGCCTGGAAACCCTGGCCAAGGTGTTCGACCATCCGAGCTGCTCTCTGACGCACACCAAGAAACAGGTCCGGTGCAGACCATGCAGCATAGCTCCTTGCATCACACGGTGACCCTCCTTCCGTCTATGTCGACTCACGACGCTTTATGTGTTGTGTTTTTGGAACAAGGGCCCTGAGATGGATATCGACAGTCTGCTGTGTAAGGTTTCAGCTTTGGTCAGCCTCCTTTCCTCACTGGAGAAAAAGGTGTGTTTATGAGGGTTTTCTACTGTGGCGAGATTCTCATGTGATGTGTGATTTCTAGGAATATTGAACAGGTCACAGTCCTCCAGCTTAAGGTTTTAAAACAAACGTACCAGTTCGTTTGTGATGGACTACAGTGGTGAAATGGTAACGCTGCGAATCCTCTGACCGCAAAGGTGTTACAAGCGTTGCAAGATGCGGTGACCAATCACAATCTGGCAGTGCAGCCTAACCCCGCCCCTCCCGAACCGGCACCTGTCAAGAACCATGCCGGACAGCTGCCAGTTCACTCCTTCCAGGTAAACCAGGGTTGCATAAGTTGAATGTAATCCTTTTTCATCAGATATATCATACAAATAAGACCATATATGTTGTGATGTAAACGTGCAGACGGTTGTCTTGTTGCTGCGTCCAGGTGAAGATGGTGAGGTACGGCAGACAGACGGTTTCGGTGGACGTGGACGCGGGAGTGCTGCTCTTCGACAAGAAGTCTGGTTCCTTTGGTGTAGAGAGGGTCTCGCATGACAGAAGTAGGAAAAGAGCACATCACGTTGCTCTCGTGTGAGATAGACGTGCGTAATGACCTGTGCTGCCGCGTGTTGTTGTGTTCAAGTCCTTCAGATCGTCACCTTCCAGAGCAGTCCGGCAAAGTTGCGCATGATGGTCGACAGCCGCCACACGCCGCCGCGGGAAATGACGTTCGAGAGTGCGCGGGTAAGGAAAGAAACTGGCCTTAGTTTTTAACCGGAAACTGTTCCATCATTCTCTCTGCCGCTGTCGTCTCTTCTTCCAGAAGCGCGACGCGTTCTGCCGACTCCTCCAGCTGACGAAAACCAGGCACTCCCAGCTGAGGGAACCCGACGTGATCTCCGTGTTTGTCGGCACCTGGAACATGGGTATGACCGTGAATGCGACGACCCTCTCTTTCTCCCGCTGAGCAGGGATTGGAAGGATCATCTTTTGGGGTTTCTATTCGTTAGGTGGTTCCCCTCCTCCCCGCAGCCTGCGGTCGTGGGTCACCTGCTGCGGTTTGGGGCACACGCCGGACGAGTCGACCGCCTCGCTCCCGCACGACATCTACGCCTACGGGACTCAGGAAAACCCTCAGGGGGAGAGAGAGTGGACGGAACACATCAAAGCGACCCTTCGCAGCAGCACGCACATTGACTTCAGACAAGTAATTACCTCTGACCCTAACCCTCTTTTTTTATGCTTTTTTTAACTTGTGTTATTTTCACAGAAGAAATTTTATTGATCACAATCTGATTTATCTGATTGAGCACTTATGTTTTTTCAACTGTCTGTTGTGAGCTCTGCAACTTTAAAATGATGGTGGATATAAGGTTTACACCCAATGTTTTTGCTAAATTATTGCTAATTAGCAATTTTGGTGACAATGTTAATGTTATTAATCTAGTAATTCGTTTTATTTTCTAATAATAATTCTAATAATAAATATATCTGTCTATATCTATACCAAAATTTGCAGATATGCATTACTGCAAATGAATAATACCTTAATAAAGCATACAATTTTAAATCTGCAATTGTCTATATATATATATATATATATATATATATATGCCAATTTAGAGCTTGTATTTTAACCTCATGTAACTCAGTGCTTCTTTAAAAAAATTGTATTAAACCTCAAGTAAAACCCTTAAATGTTACATTTAGTGGACCTCAAGTATATCGGTCAGCATTTAAGATTGTTTTTTTTAAATAAAATGAGGGTTTCAGCAGGTCACAGGAAAGGATTATGAAAGTGCAAAATATTTTGTCATTGGAGATTAGAATTTCATTTAATTAATTCAATTCCTAGTGTGTGTTTTTTTTTTTTTTTACAAAGATCTTTATTAAATCGAGAGCAATTAAATGTAGTCTTCTTTGACCGCAGGGAATCTGTTGTTGTGTACTGGTTGTAACGTGGAGCCTTGTCCTGTAGGTGGCAGTACAGTCTCTGTGGAATATGAGGCTGGCTGTGTTTGTAAAGCCGGAGCACGAGGGCCGCGTAAGCCATGTGCACACAGCCAGTGTGAAGACCGGCTTGGGAAACACATTGGGTAGGCGTCCCCCCCCCCTGATTAATGGAAGATTTGTGTTTATTAACCTGAAGGTTTGAGGTTGAGCGTCTCTGTTATTCCAGGAAACAAGGGAGCTGTCGGCATCTCCCTCCTCTTCAACGGCACATCTTTTGGGTTTGTTAACTGCCACCTGACGTCTGGAAGTGAAAAAGTCCTGAGGTACATTAGCCGTATAAATATGTGAAACACGACGCACACGTGCTCCTGCTTCACGTCTGTGCCTTATAATCGTCTCTCGCAATGCACGTCGCGTTCAGGAGGAACCAGAACTTTGTGGACGTCCTCAGACTTCTCTCTCTGGGCGACAAACAGCTCGGTGCCTTCGACATCAGCCTGCGCTTCACCCACCTCTTGTGGTGCGGAGACCTCAACTACCGACTCGACTTGGATGTTCAGGTAGAACCGAGCCTCTCGTTTCGCGACCGTTGAAGGCGGTTGAGAAAATATCCGAGGGCATTGACGTCGTTATCGGTGTCTTTGCTTCTGTCAGGACATCCTGAAACACGTCTCGAGGAGAGAGTTCGAGGAGCTCATGTGTGCCGACCAGCTGACCAGAGAGAGACACAAGAGGAAGGCCTTCCTCAATTTCAGTGAGTTCTTTGTTATCAGAGAAATGTGGTACGAGCACTTTAAAACCATTTTACAATAATAAAACAAAAGTTGCCGCTGTATAGATGGATACCGTTTCACATCGCCTCCCCCTACTTCACTCTGTACTCTTGCTTTTTGTTTTGTTTATCGTGGTTAAGAGGAAGAGAAGATCGCATTTCCACCCACATATCGGTATGAGCGGGGCTCCAGAGACTGCTACCTGTGGCAGAAGTACAAGACTTCAGGAGTGAGTCACTTGTCGGTGACGCAACAGCGCGTCTGCAAAACACGATGATGTGGACTGAAAAAACATCTGCACTTTCCGAGTAGATGCCAATATTAAGGCTTTAAGATCCGTGGCTTTAGATGATGAGGAACACAATACATTCACTGTACTCAGGAAATAATCTAATAATGGAAATGGAGGCATGAGAACCTATTTGCAGTGTAAATTAAACGCAGTCATTCATAAACAACACATTTGTTAGACAATGAGATTTCCATCATTTGTGTTTTAGACTAATTACACAAAATATGTAATACGTACTGAACCAAGTGCAGCACAGAACACATAGAATATCCAGCCTCCTTCAGACATTTTAATAAGTAACTTGATCCCTTTTAGGGGCTCCCACGTCATAGGGAAATGACAGCGGCTGCCATGTCAGATACAAATAGGAGCTCAACACTTCTTCTAAAAAGGAATTTCACTGCAAACGCTCTCTTTTTATCCGGTAATTTGACTTGTGGCACAACACCGTTGATTGGTGGCTGGATCTCTTTTCGCAGGTGCGAGTTAATGTTCCGTCGTGGTGTGATAGGATTCTGTGGAAGTCCTACCCAGAGACACACGTCTTGTGCACTGCATACGGTAAGATCTGGAGCTTTTGAAAGAAGCTTTGAGCTGAGAAGCAAAGGGCCTTAGTGAGGCGTAAACTAAATTAGATATCCGTGTTTTTTAACCACTGCAAAAACGAGAGCAGCCCGCAAAACGGTCAATCGCTGCATCCTGGTCTGTGGTCCGTGAAGAATAAGAATCCGTTCCTCTCTTTCTGACTTTTTGACAGTAGCAAAACCGCTTTCCGCTCTCACATCTGGTGAAATATTGCTGACGGCTCATGAGCCACTGCGGGTGTGTTTAGTGTTGTCATTGCGTGGCGTCGTGGATTTGTCTCTCCAGGTTGCACGGATGACATCTTCACGAGCGATCACTCGCCCGTTTTCGCCACGTTCCAGGTGGGAGTGACGTCCCGGCTCGGCGGCAAAGCAGGTACCGCCATTGCGGAACGCGCGGAGCATGACCGCATGCCGTCGTTAGGAAGAACAGCCTTGTTATGCATTTGTCTGGCGCAGATACGCACGCAGGCGTGGAGAAGGCCTGGATAGAGCTGGAGGGCATCGAGGCCATCGTGAAGACGGCGAGCAAGGCAAAGTTCTTCATCGATTTCCATTCGTCTTGCCTTGAAGGTACGCCGTCACGCGAACAACCACGTTCTACAGGAAGCCATCGTGAAGGAAGAGATGACACGGATTCGTTCTCGTCTTTCTCTTGCAGAGACACGGCGCTCGAGTGAGAACGACTCCCAGAGGTGTGATGTTCCCGGATTTCCCAAACTGGGCTGGTCCTTCAAACAACTGCCCAAGGTTAAAAGAGGCTCATTTGGAAACGGCTGAAAATATTGTTCGTTCTTTCTTTCTTTTTTTTTTAAAGTCGAACTCTAAAGTAAGTTGTTGTGATTTGCTTATGTCTGTCATAGCTTCTTCCAATCATGTCTGACATGGAGTATCTTCAGGATCAGCACCTGCTGTTGTCTGTCAAGTCATGTGACGGGTTTGAGTCCTACGGTTGGTCACATTATCTTCTCCATTCATAACGTTCCTCTATGAATAAAAAAAAGAAAATAAATCATTTAATATTTTTGGATAAACTTGCACAAGTTTATCCAAAAACGTGCAATGATTTACATTCTTTTTTTTGAATTAACAATGCTGTATGCTAATATTGGTAGTTTAATCATTTCTCAATAGGGTTTGCAGCTTTCAGCTCGAGCTCCAACAATTTGCATTAAAATCCTTGAGACATTTATAAACATGTGTCAAGGATATAAGACATTTTCTAATGACCTACGTTTTTTTTTTTTGGATCATTTCTATGCAAAAGAAAATAAACGTTCATAATACAGGGAATGGTTTACGGTATCTTAAGGCTTTTAAGTGTTGTAAATGTTCTTCTTTAATCAAATGCAGTAGTTCGTGTCCAGTTCTAAGCGACCTGTGACGTTGACCTCGACACATCAGCGTGAATTGTCTAGCGACTCCTTCTTTTCGTGCAGGGGAATGCTGCGTGGCTCTGCGCTCACTCACCGGCGCATCGGAGCAGTTTGAGACCTGTTTGAGTCACAGAGGCGAGGAGATGGGCTCCATAAGAGGACGGGTCAGGGTCCACGTGCCCAAGGACAGACGAGGAACTCGGGAGAAGACCTACGGTGGGTCCCGCCGGAACCGGTCCCCTCTTGCCCTCGGCCTTGCTTTCTCTATCGCTTCCCGCTAAACTTTCATCTCCACTGTGACTGGATTCTTTGACTCCCTTGTGAGTTTCACGTCGCTTCCTCTATTTGGTTCCTCAATGATCTTTGTCTTGGCTTTACACTTGCTAGTATCTATCGGCCGCTTCCTCTTTTGGCTCCCGATTGACTGACCAGATGCATCCTGTGACACAGAGACAGGATGGATGAGTGTTGTCTCGTCAGGTCAGGCACTACAACAACACACACACACACACACAGACACCACCATGCTGTTTGTTTGCAAACTGGCATGGCCTTTGGTCTACAGACACCACTTTGAGGAAGTTTTGCTCATTGTGAAACCCGTTGATTTTCTGTGATTTCACTTTTTCAGAGTGGTTCTATTTTGAGAAAGATGGCAAAGGTCCCGAAAGGGGACAAATTAAGTCTCCTGCGTCTACAGGAGCCCCAATAAACAGGTGAGGGTTCTTTAAAAAACAGATAAACGTCTCCAATCCTCTGCCATGTCATTAACCAGCCATGTACCCACTTTTACAAAAGCAATTTATCATTTTGGTGTTTTACAAAGTTACCGGACGCTCGAAAAAGATTCATTTTCCACCTCATGCTGTTATTTGGAAGAAAGAAAAAAACTCGCTTGCCCCAAACCCTGTCAACGGCGATACAGTGTAAATGATTAAATTGATACTACTAACTGAAGCCACCTGCCCGGATCAATGCAGACCTTGTGTATTTTAGCACAGTGCCACTATTGATCCGAACGCTCGCAATGCTAACAATGGATGCCAACGAACACAACGAAATCTGGCAAAGAATGAGTGAGAATTGAGGACACATTCAGTAACTTCACATCGTTCCTTGCAGGACCGTGGCAGCTCCTGGCAAACCAACACCGAGCAGCTACACCAATCCAGCCTACTTCATCTTCGAAGGGGTGTCGGTGCCCCGCAGGGTGGAGGAGGCTCTCCCTCAGCGTCGGGACTCGCTGGTGATCTGGTCTGGAAATGAGGCCTTGCAGCTCCCGAAAATCTCAGCACGTAAGGAATTCGACAGAGGACCCTGTCGCAGATCAGATTTCGCAGAAATTGAAATTCCAGTCGTCCTGCCCCAGTACGCTCCGGCCAACAACGTCCATTCGCCACACACCGGCTCCTCCTATCAGCTTTTCCCGGCTAAGGACCCATCGCCCGCACCCCCGACCTCAAGCGACGCCACGTCTCTTTACCAGGACCAGACCTCACACACCAGAGACAAATACCAAGGGGGGAAAAAAATTGTTGATGACTCCGTACTGCCCGAAAAGAACTTGAGGAACTTGTATATGAATCACACAGCAATCATTAGGGAAAAAGCCAGAAGGGATCAACATCATCATCATCATCATCATCATCATCAGCAGCAGCTTCTCCCAGAAAGGACCAAACCTGTGTGGGCGGCCGAGGCGCCGTCAGCTGTCCCCTACGTTCCCGCTCAATCGCCACATTCTCAGGTCTCTGTTCCCTGGATGGGGGATCAGCAGCTGCCGGGACCTTCGGGAGACAACTCCCTCACTGCTTTGCAAATGGCAAAGTCCCTCAGTGAAGTTGACTTCTTCCCGCCAGTGCAGAGAGTGCCGTCCATCCCCGACCACAGGCCCAGTTACAGGAACGGCCCCACCTTGCATGGAGATAGAGGCTACAGCTGGGAGAAAGAGGTACGACGCCGCACTCGGGCAGTTTTTAGAAACGTGCAATTGCTGGTTATCGGTTACAATAATATCTGTCCGCTTTGTTTGAACGCAGGTGTCGGTGCTCCAAGGGGCACCAGAGACTGTGCGGGAGCTTCTCAGTGCTCTAGGTCTTCAGAAATACACCCTGGGACTCAGCCTGAATGGATGGGATGATCTGGATTACTTCAGGTAAAATCTTTTTGGAATAACGGGCTCCACAAGCGGCACTTAAGTCGGGTCCTAGTTGCTGGATTTCAGAGCGACGCTAATACGTAGCTTCTGCTACACAGAAACCAAGCGTGGTATATTATTCTGTAGAGCGCTCGTAAGACAAGACGCGATCTTTTGACCAGCACGCGTGTGACTGTCCTGCGCACGAACCGTGCAGGCGATCCACATTTAAATAACGATTACTTCCCTGCAGCGGCATCACTGAGGAGGATCTACGCGCCGCAGGAGTGACCAACCCTTCGCACCGACGCAGGATCCTCGAGAACCTGCCCAGCAACTGGAACTGACCCACGGGAAGGAGTCCTAGTGCTCCCCGGGCCAGAGGCGCCAGAACCGAGGTCTGAAAGCGGGCCGGACTGAGTGGATGCCGGTCGCATCGGCTGTACCCTTTCACCCGCCCAATCGATGGCGCAACGTGGGTTTGTCTGCGCCGACACAGCGCAGGAAGTACCCGTCGGCACAGTCTGCTCTATTCATCCGTCCGTCTTGACGGATAATGAAAGCGCCGGGTGATGTGGATGGAAAACTTCATTTGTATCTGCAGTTATTGACACAAGGGCTCATTGATTTAGCTTCAATGCTTTTTTAAATGGCTATGAAAATACAGTCCTTTCATTTCCAGTGTGCACTCAAGGTTAGTGTTTGTCGTTCACCTTCATCCCTTCTACTGTGTGCTTTCCATTACTCTGCGATTATTGAGCCTGGATCTGAGCTTGTAAAAGCCTCCTATTAAACCTATGGAGCATAAAATCCATAGCTGTGTACATCTACCGGAACAGCGTCTGTAAAGTTGGTATAGAAGGACCTGCAATATATCGGATTGTGTTTACTGTCTCATAATGTCGCTATCATGTCACTTAATCAGTACCAATGTCCACTGTGCATGTTTTATGCATCCATTTATTTTAAGTGCATAAAGCGATCAGTGTTGTTTAATGGTGTCTTATTGCTGGAAGAGAGAAATCACTTTGAGTCGATCATCGGCAGAGGTGTAGCCGACTTACTGCTCTAACAAGGCAAAAGGAGAAATGCAACAATATTCTACAGAAAAATATTTAACCCATGGGGCTATTATTTGCTAGATACTTTGCATATCCACAGCTAAAAGATGCCACTCAACACTTTGTGTCACTAAGTCGAGCTAAATCATTTTCATCAAGTTGCAGCAAGATGTTCAGCTTACTGCGGAGAGAATATTCAATGTGTTTTTGAGTGTTAAAAAACTTAAATAAATGGGATTGCATTAGTTCTATTTGTAGATGACCGGCTCAGTTAAAAAACAGACCACTGGTCCTAAAATGACCAAATATTCCTCTCTGTGTGACTGTCTGCTGTTGCTTGTATTCAGTTACTCATTAAGGCCTGACCAAACACGTCCTTCTGTCCTCTGACAGCAGGTTTGCATACTGACTGTAGGGTTGCTGGGAATTTTGGCAAATGTGGGAAAGTATTGATTTATTTATTTTTCTCTTAAAACCAAGGTTTAGTGAAACTTGGGTTGGACATAGTTTTCTCAGCAGCACGCTTTAGTACATGATTATTGAATTATATTGACATATTGAAGTCTAAACATCCTCTCCAGATATGAAAAATGCTTTTCTTCATGTAATAATTGGAACAAAAATCTAAATAACCTTGTCAAAAGTCTGAAAATTCCCCATCCTCTTCTTCCCTTGAAAAAGGAGAATCCGTGAAATTGCATCCTTCTTTTCAAGAGTTTAATTTGCAACCTCCCTGACTTGACTGAAAAAAGGAATTCTTCCATTTCACAAATGCACAATGGACCTGGAAACCATAGTTGAGACTTCACATTATAATTCAGATGAAAGCACCGTCTCCTCATGTAAATCTCTGCTCACGTTTCGTTCTGCACAAGGTCAAACATCCGAGTGAAGAACTAATGATTAGAACACACTTTAGAGATGGAGGATGACTTCATTAACAGAACGTTCATCTGTTCATAATCTGATTTTAAAGTGGCAATCTAAGATTTTCTTTTAAATAGATGTCTTATCTTATTATTTTAGAGAAAGGGGGTGACACAATGGTGACTGAGCCCGTGACCCTCCGAGGAAGGTTCAGATACGCTTTCTTATTTATTTTCAGCATTCAGAACTATGTGACTGAAATGGATTTTCAATTCTGAAAAATATCATTTTGACACAAACTAAGACACCAGATGACTAAACTCTGAGAACATTTCTTTTGTTTTCACTTTAAAAAAAAAGGGTTTCCTGTGAATAACCGGCTTTGTCAGTGACCCACTCACATTCCACACTTCCATTTCAACAGAAACCCGAACAGTGCGCAGACACCCACACTGCTCGCACCAAGCTGACCATCCACACACACACACGCACACACACTCTATTACTTTACTTTCAATGCAACAATTTAAATTATTTCAGATTGTTACCACTCCTAAAAATATACATATATTAAATCAATTTCCACGTCCTGCCAAGATTTATCTGGTGTTTCAATTTACACAGAAATGTCTTTGCGTGTGAGCGATGCCGGGTGTTCTCCTACTGTCTCTCACATCACAACAATATCATTCCAACAAAAAGTGTTTAGTCTCTGCTGGTGGTTTGGATACAATCTTGTTTGCGGCTGTGCGTCCATCGCACTTGAGCTTTTAGTAACTCATTAAGTGATCCCCTCATCTCCGTTTATAGCCTCTCCTATACAGCGTTCATACAGCTCATCCTCCCCCCGTTTTATTTGTTTATGATCGGACTTAATTCTTAATAATTACACACACCGGTTCAAAGCCTCAGATGACAAAGATTACTAAAGAGATGAACCTGTGGCTTCCTCGCAGATCCAGATGCAGCCTTTTATAGCAGCTCTAAGGAGTACTGTACAGCTGTGCAAACATTAACTTCCATAACATTTCAGCATTGAGTGCTATTGAGTGTTGTCATGGCGATGACTTTAACATCCCCCCCCCACCCCCGCAGTGCCGCAACAAAGTTCTTCCAATTCCTTCTGCCTTTGGTCTCTGACGGGTGGAGTTGGGATACCCTCTCCCTCGTCCTGCCTCGGGTTCTTCTGAGTTCCTTTTCCCTTGAGGCCTCCACCTTTGTCTCTGGAGTAAGTCGCCGGGAGGAGGGCGGGAGGGGGGTCGGGGGCGGGTGAGGGGCTTTGACACAGTTGTGTTCCACTAATCAGAAGGTTGTTCGCTTGAACGCGGCCCTCCTTTAGTCTGACTACATGTTGAAGATACTGAAACCAAAAGCACGTGGCACCTTGCGTGGTGGCCTCAGTGTGTGCGTGTCTGAATGCGTCAATGCTGACTCGTGGGTTGCAAAGAAGAGAAATGTGCATATAGTTGCTTTATCATTCCCTGTACTGTGGGGTGACTTTTTGGAGGTTAAAGGAATCGATGGTCTAGATCCATAAGAAGCTGGTGTTTCTTTGCTCCACAGTGCAGAAAAACTGCTGGATCACCTCCACGAAACATTGACTTCATGTAGCTTTGCTGTAAGTTCTTATCATCCTCGAGAAGCTGGTGACGGTTGTCAGGGGCAACCTGACACGTAATACCGGCCCGGGATGGTCCAAACAATAAACATAAATAGACACGAATAGACCAAACATGTCAAGTGCTAAAATCAAGAATACTATTTAAGTTTAAAATAAGTGTCCAGTGTATATTAAATAAAGAGCAGAGTGAAATCGACTCCCTCAGGTTTCCTCTCTTTTTCCCCTATGGAAGGGTTTTTTATTTTTTGGGGAGTTTTTCCTGTGCCGATGTGAGGGTTTTGGGACAGAGGATGTGTACCGACTGTAAAGCCCTCTGAAGCCAATTTGTAATTTGCGATTTTGGGCTATACAATATAAAATCAATTCATCTGAATTTAACTTAAAATTAGAAAAATGACTTAATGTAATAAGATACAGTTCAACACATTCCATTTTAAAGAGGCTGTTCTTAGTTAAAATAGTGTGGCTGTTGTGTTAAATACGCATGTATGCACTATTTAAGGGGCACATCTGTGTATATATGTTGATATACGAGGCTCGTAAGTGACTCGGAGGACTCCTCATGGGGCGGACGGTTTTCCGTCTACTCAGCAGAGAGACTTCCCATTTCAGTCCTCCGGTGTCCGCGAGCTCCTCGTGTCTCCGACGCTCCCAACGACACCACTTCCTCCGGAAAGAAGTGAAAGAAAACTTCACTTTCACCGCCGGCGAGCGGGGCGACTGCTGGATCTCTGCCGGAGAAGTGAACGCGACTTCCCGCTGACGACGCGATCGGGAGCCGCTGATCGACGCGGTGGTTTCTGGAGGGGTGGGGGGGGGGGGTTAGTGTCCCGATAACTGTGTTTGTTTAACACGTGTAAGAACCAACAGTGGTGGAGAGTATCCTGGATTCTGAACGGTAAGAGTCACTTGCACTTTCTTTATCAGGTCATATAGCTCATTCTCACATCGGAGAGTTTAACCAACTTTTAACTGCAATACATTTATTTTAAAGCTATCTAGTGCACAGTTACTCAAATACACTAGCAGTTAAAATAGCACCTACAACATGCCTTTATCTATGATAATAATGCCCTAGTAACAATATGTAGCCTACAGTATTCATGTAGCACTCCGAAAAGGTTCCTTCCACACTACTAATGACCTTTTGGGACTTTTAAGTGTTTGTTGCTGATAATACTGTGCTTCAGGGCAAAGAAATACACATGTTTACACTGTTTTACTTAACTAAAGGACCTGGACTGAGGCCACCACTGTTAAACATCTGGATTCACCTTTAAATAATTATTTGTACGAGAATCAAGAGTTTTCAAGCAACAGTCCAAAAGCCAAAGAAATTCAGTTTCTGTTGTTGTAAAATACAGAAAGGCAGGAACCTGATAATTAACTGTTGTATAATTTACGATTCATGTCCGTCAATTCTTTCATCCGTCAACCTAATAATGACTCTGTGTGCAGTATCTTTCAACATAATCTAAAAGTCCTCTTCCTTCTTCAAAGGTTCAGTCGCCCGCTGGCTTGAAAGTGCTTCAGCGAGAAGTAGCATCACCATGGAGACGGTCATCAGCAGCCCCGCTGAGCGGAACCAATCGACGCCGTTCGTCACCATCTTCAACTCTAGCTGCCGCTTTGACGAGGAGTTCAAATACATCCTGCTGCCCGTGTCCTACAGCCTGGTGTTTGTGGTCGGCCTGGTGCTCAACGCTGCGGCTCTGGGGTTGTTCCTGAAGATGCGTCCGTGGAACCCCAGCACAGTGTTCATGTTCCATCTGGCCCTGTCCGACTTCCTGTACGTGCTCTCCCTCCCCACCCTCATCTACTACTACGCCAACCGCAGCGACTGGCCTTTCGGATTGGCCGCTTGCAAAATCGTGCGCTTCCTCTTCTACGCCAACCTCTACTGCAGCATCCTCTTCCTCACCTGCATCAGCGTGCACCGCTATCTGGGCATCTGCCACCCAATCAAGACGCTGACCACCGTGAAGTCCCGCCATGCCCACCTGGTGTGCGGCACGGTGTGGGCTGTGGTGAGCGTGTGCCTGGTGCCCAACCTCATCTTCGTCACCACCTCCAGGAGGGAGAATGACACCCTGTGCCACGACACAACCAGCCAGGAGGCCTTCGAGGAGTATGTGGACTACAGCTCCGTCGTCATGGTGCTCCTGTTTGTAATCCCTTTCCTGGTCATTGTGGCGTGCTACTGCTTGATGGCGCGCACCCTGTGCCAACCCAGACGCGGGTTACCTGCCGGCCGCCAGGGCGCCGCCTCCCACCAGAAGTCCATCAAGCTCATCGTGGTGGTGCTGGTGGTGTTCGCGTTGAGCTTCGTCCCGTTCCACGTCACGCGGACGCTCTACTACACCGCCCGCGTGTTAGGCCGTAACTGTGAATACCTCAACATCGTCAACTTTACGTACAAGATCACCAGGCCGCTGGCGAGCATCAACAGCTGTATCGACCCCATCCTTTATTTCCTGGCCGGGGATCACTACCGGTCCAGAATGATGTCCGTCCTGACGGGAGGAAGGCCGAAGACAAGCGTCCAGGCACGAGAACAGGAACAAACCCGGCTGAGCAACAAACATGACATCGAGCTGGTCTTTAAGAACCCTTAAGCAAGTGAAGATTTGAAGAGATAGTGGGAAAACTGTTGGACGAGACAAGTATTAAACATGTATTCAAGGCGTCTAGTCCTGGCTAAGCTAACGTTCCCATTAGCACATACAGATGCACCGGGTTGATTATTTTTGCTGCGGTGACGACAGGAAGAGAATCGGTTTATCGTAACTTTCACGTACAGTAAACGCCTTGAAACGTCTCCCCTACCGGTGTTTAACGACCATGTTTACATCCCCCTCACTTCCTTGGGAACTCAGCATTTGTAAGAAGTATAAAAGAGGAAGAGTGAGCGTAAAGTATCCGACCACAAAGGGGGTATTGCACCAAACTCAAGTCCTAACAGAAAGTATTCAAGCCATACTGTTCTTCGGTACCTATAATTGCAGAACAATAGTTTAGTTTTGCTTTCAATTTATAGGAAAATAATATGAGACACTTCCGTAAAATAGTTTGACACTGGTGGTCACAGGGGCAATAAAGTAATTTATTGAATATTTAGTCATCAGATCGTTTTCAGCAACGAGACACTCATCGACCCAAATGTTCAAGTTCATATCTAACCACAGATAAGAAAACGCCGAGCTATCTTGTCGGAAACGAGGCAATTATGAGTCAATCCTTCCCGTTGAATCAACAATGTCTGTGGCTACAGCCGGCGCAGCTCCTGATCCCAGCTGCTGTCGTCCCTCAACTTTCCCAGCTGTCTTTTGTTCAACCAGAGAAGCAAAGAGGCAGACTCGACAAGAGGGAGTCATATTTTAACCACCTACGCCTCTGTGTTGGGTCAGGGGATTTTCTCCTTTTTGCACTTTTAGGAAAGAAGCCACTTTCTTTTAGGTGGAACTCCTTGATGGTTTTGCTGGAGCGGATGAAGCTCCTTGTGTCATGTGTTATCTTTATATTAAGTAAGAGCGATATATATGAGATGCTTTTGTATATGTATCATAAAGTTTTACGTGAGTAACTTGTGTTTACTGTCAGTCCCGTTTCGTCAGACCCGCTGCGTCGCCGAGCTCCAATTTCTGAGTCCGCGCTGCCTCAGAGAAAGAGAAATGTTAACTGATGAAAATCCTCTGAATGGTGAATTTAACCATAATTGAAGGAACATGATGCTTTCTTATTCACAGCTAAAACTGATGATAGGTCCATCCTTTTAATGCCATATCAAAGGTGGCACATTGGGGAGTTCGATTAAAGTTGTCACATTACTTTAATAGAAACCAATAGAATATTAACAGCACTGCAGTGGTATCCAGTGAAGATCTTAGGGCTTATGATTCTATTGATTATAGTATTAATAAATACTGTTTGGAAATACTACCCCATTGTGACGATACTGACAACATGTGTTGATAATGAAAATTAATCGCAGAGCGGTTTGCCAACAAGTCGGCTCTAGCATGCTCTTTAACTTTTGACCTTAATTTCCAATCCACGGCCATGCAGCTCGTTCCCTCGCGCGACGCGCGCGCCCCCCCGCGTGGTGACACGTTGACATGGAGATGCACTGAGCAGCCGGTCGCGGAGCTCAACGACTCATCAAGGTGTCTCAGGTGAACGAGTGAGGCGGGTAAATTATACAATGAAATAAAGTGAAGAATCCCGTGTTTGTGCGCGCAAGGAGCGGCGTGGGCGTTTCGGCCCTCGGCGCTGTCTAACAGACGCATGACTGGGCCTGAAGAAGGCAGCGGCCGCGACGCCGATGACACGAGGTGACGCGCACGGCGTCAGGTGCGAGCTCAGTGCGGACAAGGGTCAGATTTAGACAGCGAATAGAGTTCAGAAAAAGTATTTTGTTTGTTTTTTGGCCACAGACCTGAGATCTGTTCGCTGCTTCGTGCAAACGAGATGAGAAACGATCACAGCCATCAGGTACATTTTCTACAGACACATGTTTCTTTGACACCTGGCTCCGAAAACATTTCTCTAATTTAGAAATCTTTGTCTCAGCCGTCACTTGGATGTGTCCGAGATACTGAGAAATATTTTTGTATCCAGTTACCGATTTATCAAATATGCGTGGAACAATGTAGGCGAACGCCGCTTTAATGCCCTTTTTGTGCTTTTCTTTAGCTCGCTGCGATACATTATTTAGCTTTTTAAGATGAGTAATATTAGTTGGCTATGTCCCTCAAGTTTTAAGATCGTGTTGCAGATGTTATTATTACCCTGAACGCCTGTAAGACACCAACCAGGGTTAACTTGTAGACGGATTAGCGTTTGTGTTGGAAGCAATTAAGCATTTAATGGCCGAGTCATGTCGTTTATAACCAATAAAACAGTAGAGGTGACGATTTGGCGAGTTAATGGACGAATACCTTCATGTTTTAATTTTAGGACAGGTATGCAATCTAACGAGGATGCGACTTTAATTGTTACAAAGAGCTTATACAAATATTTGACTAACATTATCCCAGAAAAAAACCCTCATTGAAAACGATTAACATGAAGTATTACTTCGATTCAATCGTTTTACAGTAACCGAATGAATCCCCCTATTTAAACGATCAGATTAATTACAAAATAATGTGTAACGCGCTAAATTATGTTTATCCTCTAAAACGTCTCAACCACTTGCAGACGTTTCAATAAAATAAAATGATTTTTTTTAAACAGTTGATGCTTGTTTAGGTCTGTGTGCCTCTATTCTGCAGGTTTATTTGAGTTAGTTACTCTCTTTTTCTTCTTCTTCTTCCCTGAATCGACCAGCTCGCGCCCATTGAAGGAGACCCGTGAGGATGTCTGCTCAAGGACGCGCTGGATAGCGAGTTCATTCAATGCTCGGATCCTCGGATGGGAAGCATGTTTCTCTTCTATCACATTTTTTTTGTTGTATTTTTTATCATATCGGAAGATGAAGAAGGAAACCCGTCGGTGAGAAGGCGACTCAATTCCTCCATCATAATTCAATGTGACGGAGTCACACAAAAAACAACAACTTTCCCCCAAATAAAAGCATCATGAATGGAGGATTGACGTAAACATATTTTTTAAATATTTAAGGCCCCCTTTTTTGATCTGCAGGGATGAATACAGGTTTTCCAAGAGAAAACTGAAGATCATAATCTCACATGTCAAATAGTTATGGAAAAGTTAAACATCCCATCATTTATATTCAAAATGTATTTGCATTTTTTGGTGAGGACATTTTTCTGCCAGTAAATCTGAACTTAAATACACTTGTATTGACTGCGAGATAGACACCCACGCCGTGTGCTAAAGTGATGCCTTTGTTGAGCCTTGAACATTTTTTCTGCGTTTTTTTTTTTTCTCCCTCTGTTGTTTGTCAAATTATAAGGCAGAGACGAGGGATTTCAAGGACACGTGGACTCCAATTTAATCGAAGAGGCTGAGAGTGGAGTGGAAGAGTGACACACGGAGGAGAGAAGTTCATTATTCTGCTGAAAAGGAAACCAATGGCTTTCACAGTCGCCATGGTAACCGGCCTTTCTTTTGCCGTCAGCCCTATGATAAGGTACTTCACAGCATTAAGCACAATTATTGCGAGGATAAAACGGGAAATATTGCTCTCCATTGCTAATAGATGTTAGATATTGATTGGCAGGGTGATTCGTATAGAAGTGCCGCCCAACTGTTTCACCTGCCTGACTCTGCGACCTTTTAAAGAAATTTGATGACGGTGATGCTGGATAGGCCTTTGTGGCTCTGTGGGCTCTTTCAAATTTACTTTACCCGAAGATCAGTATTGGAAAAAACATTCACTTGTGACGGGAACAAGATGAAGACGGATTCAGCAGCGAAACAAGCTTGAAAACCCCTTAAAAATCAGCAGTTGTGAGTTTCTTTCTGAATGACCGTTTGCCGGCTGTCCCGTGCAAAATGTCTCATAACATAAATGCTAAACACCCGCTGCTTCTCGTCATTAGCATGTCATTCCGTTGTCGAGTGACCCCGCTCCCGCTCTCTCACAAAGGCGGGTCGGCCATGGCAGCAGGGAGGTCAGCGCCGAGCACAAGTCCAGGCCACGTGGGAATGGGGGGGGGGGCACGGCTGGTTGCAGGCGGCCTGCTTAGTTGGTGAGAGGATGGAGGATTAGCTCAGTGGGGAAGCATGGGAGCTTGTGTGTGTGTGTGTGTGGTGGGGGAGCGAGGGGGGCAAATTGTTTTAACCCCTATTACAGCAACTGCGTGGCGCTTCTCTTATCTAGGCCGCTGCAGCCACTCATTAATATTCCGTACATATGGCGGTGCTTTCTGTATCATTGTGTTTTAATGGGAGGGATAATCGCTCATTCAATTATCAGGCAGTCAGCAAAAGGGCCGACCCGTGCCTGCGCACCCCCTGGTTCACACGGTGGCGCAGCCCAAAACAGAGGTGTGCCAGTGAGGAGGTGAGAGCGATAGCGGGGGATTACAACATATTAGCTTCTTTAATAAGTCGGGCGGCGGGAATAATGTGGCGCAAACGGGGCTCTGTTGGCGAACAAGGAAAACATGCGGCAACAAAGCCAAGGAGGCCCCTATCTTCAACCTGCGCCCCGTTCTGCTCAAAAGTCCTGCGTGCCTCTTGCACACATCAGCGGCACGGCCGCGATCAACGTGACGGTTTTCCCGAGATGCTTTTAATCACCGGAGAGACTCCCTTGGTGGCGCGATGGACTCCGAAAAGGCCGCGCCGAATGAGGCTTGACCCCGATGCGCGCGGGCCAAAGATCTGAGAAGTGATCATACGTAGCGCTCATCCGTCTGCCTGCCGCGGCCTGGATGTGAGCGGGGGGCCAGGGGGCGGGAGGGGGGGGTTCATCGATGCTAGCGTGACCTCCGGGCCGCTTTGACCCCGAGGAGACCTCCGTTGAGTCAACACAAGCACACCCGAGGAAGGAAGGAGGGAGGGAGACTTGGAATAAGCTTGTTTAGTGCGGCGAGTTCCTGGGGGAGGTGGTTGGGAGATTGGGGAGTGCAGAACTGTCGCGAGCGGGGGTGTGAACAAGATAGGAGGTGAAATGTTAACAAAATCTTATAAAATCCCTAGTTTGATAAATTTTCACTCGCGAGTGTGTTTTTTTCTCTCGAGTGAACCGAAGGCGGCTGCGGCTGTGGAGGGCCTTTGTTGGAGGTCCCATTTTCTCTGGCGGAGCAGCGCGCTCACAGGGTCAGCGAAGTTACGAAAGTAATTAAAGCTCGGTGATTCACTGCCTGCTGCAGAGAAAAGAAAGCAAGCTGTCATTCTGATTTAGAAAAATAAATTACAATTTTAATAATGGGGGAGGGTGGGGGTGCGAGAACGTCTACAGGCTCGGTGGGTTGGGGGGAGGCGGGGTTAGGCGCGTTGGGTGGGAGGAGGGAGGGAGGGATGGGGGGGGGGTTGCTGGCTGCCTACTTATCAATAGTTGCAAATTTTTTTTTCTTTTTTTCTGAAACCGCATCGGTAGTACATTGCGAGAGCACAAGTGCCCTTAAAAAAAGAAAACCCTGGGACATTAACATACTGATTTCATGCGCATGGCAAAGGGCCTGAGCCAGTATCAGAGAGGACTCAGCAGTCCTATTGTCTGCTGGGACTCTGGTCCCCTCTGATATGAAAATTCAATTATTTTATAACTAGATCTGGCGCCGCGTTTTGACTGGCGACGGTAGCGCCTTGCCAGCTGCATCAGCGTGGGGGACCAGAGGCTCCTGATAGCGAGAGGGAGGCCTTTCAGACATTGACATGTTTTTGGGGGACAAGATTGCCCTAAATGTGTTGCATTTAAGGACTGAAAGTTAATCTAATGCGCCGCCATTATCTCACTCAGGTAATTCCAATGCCATCCTCAATCTATGTTTACGCCCGCGCACGCACCCGCATGCTCGCACACCCATTCATTCTTCAGCACTTTGAATCTGATTCCCAGGCTTTCTGCAGCCAAACAGGTAATGTATTTATTTATTTTTCCCGCGGGGCTTTTTCTCAGGGGGCTGCAAACTAATGTAGAATAGAAGTTGTTTTTCTGAGAGACATCAGCAGTTTTCTAGGTGGTAATTCTGCAGGAAGACACACAGGGAGACATGTGAAATGGTACTCGGCGTCAAAAGGAGAGGAAAAGGAATAGTTTTCTAAGTAATTTCATACTTTTTAATCAATGAGTAAGAATAGTTTATATATGCAATAGTTATATACTTATTTAAACAGGCTTCCCAATAAAATATCAACACGGTTCTCCCAAAGATTCACAACTATCTCTGTTTGACTGAAGATGAAATCTCTCTTTCTGTGGATGTGCAGGTTGTTTTGTTGCGTATTTCTTTTTAAATCCAGAATCCCCTCCGCATAAAGTCTTACTTCAGACCCCGAAACTTTTTAGGTTAGAAGACACACACACGCTGGCTTTATGGGACAAATCCTTTCATTACCTCAGCGGCTCACTGTGAGTGTTCTGGGGGGGAGGGGGTTCTGTTGAGATTAGGCAACAGGAAGCAGCCCCCTGGTATGGCCCTCTCCACTCAGACCCCACTGTGCCGGTGCTTATTAACCCAGCCTGGGAGACGACGTACCTGCCTCTCCTCATTAGGCCGCGGTGGAGTACGCGCTCAGCCCGCAGAAGAAAGGGACATTAATTAGTATTCTCTGCAGGGGGAGCTGCCATTAGCAGTTAATTAGCGGTAGGAGCACCATTCAGTCGGGCGGCCAGTCAGGGTCTGACACAATATGTTTTGTGTCTTTTTCCCCGTGCGTCTTTGTTAACGCTGATGAAAGACCTTGTTGTCTGTGTGTGTGTGTGTGTGTGTGTCGGGCAGTGCTGCGTGTCATTTTTTTTTTTGTCGCAGGTTGTTTTCGGGGTTTATTTCTGCGGGTTGGCGTCGGCGCACGGGGAAGGCCCGTGCTCCCGAGTCAGCATGCTGTCCAGCCGTGTCGCACATTCAGCCCTCTCGCTGCTCTCGACCTCCGTGGGGGGCAAACGCTGTAGTCCCCCCCCCGTGCCCGCCCGCGGGGGCTCGGCCAGGGGACGGTGAAGTGTGAGGTCAACTTTCCCCCGTTGGTCTCTGGGGAAGTTCTTTTGATCTGCTGAGTAGGCATTCTCCTCTCTTTTCTCCGTGTTCTCTGTCCAGCTCTTGTCACCGCCGAGGAGGACGGGGGGAGGCTGTTAACCCAACGCCGTCCACTCCTCGGCCTCACCCGTCCTCACTCTCCCCCTGTGCTCCCTCCTCCTCCCCCCTCCCCTCCCCTCCCCCTCCCACCAACGGCTTTTGGGGGCTCGAGAGGAGGGTGGCGGCAGTGGTACCTTTCACTTCTCGAAATCTGAGAGGCGGAGAGCTGTCATTTGCCAATTTGGCCTGAATGGGGCGGACAGCGGATTGAATGTCTTTTTCCCACCAGGCTGCACCATCTAGAGCAGCAGGGGAGGGAGGGGCGCGCAGGGGCCGGGGTGTAATGCTAGAGTAAAATTAGAGCTTTGATGGCGGCTAATAGAGTGTGATGGGTGGCGCTGACGTGGATTTCCAGTAAAGACGCCACAGGTTTCCCCTCTCTGTCTCTCTGTCTCTCTCTCTCTCTTTCTGTCTGTCCTGCAGCCTGACACACCTATAAGATTATGTGGGCCGTGCCTTCATTCTCAGAGCTGTAATTTCTCTCTAATTACATATCTCGAAACTCCAAGCCTGCCGGTGTCAAAGGGCTT